TCAAGACTTCCAAGGACTCAATATTTATCACCAGCCAGGCGCACAATCCTAGAAGGCAGAGAGAGATCTGGAGGATTATGGTTTGAAGCCAGCCTGGGCAAATAGTTTGCACAAGACTATCTCAAAAAAACCCTTCACACACACACACAAAGGGCTGGTGGAGTGGCTCAAAGTGTAGGCCCCGAAAACAGCCCCAGTACCACAATAAATAAATAAATTTTTTGAATGCTTAGCACCTATGAGGTCTTGGTAGTTACTATTCCTGATAACTCACTGGTACTCAGCAGTTCTGAGGACCTGGGAATTACAACTCTCAGAGACTCAAGCCTAGCTGAGCACTGGTGACTCACTCCTGTAATCCTAGCTACTCAGGAGGCAGAGATCAGGAGGATCGAGGTTCAAAGTCAGCCCCAGGCAAATAGTTCATAAGACCCTGTCTCGAAAATACCAAACACAAAACAAGGCTGGCAGAGTGGCTCAAGTGGTAGAGCACCTGTCTAGTGCAAGCATGACACCCAGAGTTCAAACCCCAGTATCACACACACACAAAGACTCAGTCCTCAGCATCTCTGGTGACTTGGTAGTTACCACTCTTGGCAACTCACTCCTCAGCACTTCAGCTTTGCAGAAGCATAAAGGGCAAGAAGGGAGTCACTAGAAGGTGAGGCTAGAGGTTGGCAAAAGCCAGATAAGGAAAGGTTGCCCTGGCAACCTTGGACTTCAGCAAGTGCAGTGGGGAGCCATGGATGGAATGTGAGCCATGGGAGGGTATGCTCAGACCCAGCCAGGAGCTGGACCATAAATCCTCTCATCTCAGCCAACAAAGGTTGCTCCTGGCCAGCCCAGTCTCTCCATCTCCATCTTGGGGCTGGTACAGAAGGAAGGGGCTGGCAGGGGAACCTGGGGCCAGGTCAAGGGGTGTCTACATGCTGGACTGAGCAGCTGGACCCGGAGGGCCAGGAGAGCCCAGAACAGAAGTGAAAGAGCAGCTGCTTGCTTGGCCCACACCTGGGCAGAGGTGGAGGGAGTGACAACAGCTCGGCCTACACCTGGAAGCCATGGTGCTGAGTGGGAGCCTGGTTTCACTCTCTGCCTTGCCAGTGGCCTCCTCTCCAGCTGCCTGGGAGATGGCCCTGGCCCCAGGTGACTCTTGGCTGTCTTTCAGGAGGGTCTCCTTCCCACCCTCTGCTGCTCTGACCCTCCCCCCCACCCCAAGATCCAAGTCCAGCCTGCAGTTGGCCTCTGCCTGGGGCAGGACCAGGCAGCAGAAGGCCTACTGGTCTTTACCAGAGCAGCCCACCCTGACCCCACAGTGCCAGCTGCAGGGCAGAGCTACAGGTCTAGGGGTCACAGTGTGTGTGCTGCTCCCACACACCCCAAGGATTGGCAGAGAGGCTCCAGGTCACACACACAGAGCCCAGGCTGGGGTCCCCAGTATCCCAGGCTTGAATTGGAAAGCTACCCACATGAGTCCTGCTGCACCCCCAGCCTGTCCGGCTGTCCTCACCCTCATCAGACCTGACAGGCAGCTAGGAACTCCAAAGATGCCTTCCTGAGAGGGTGGCAGTGACTGTGGGGCTGCAGCACGACCTCAGAGTTCTGGGCTCACCTGCATGCTGAGTCCCACGGTCCAGCGCGAGGCTGTAAGTACCTGTGCAGGCAGGCAGCAGAGTGGCTGCCAGGCTGCCGGTTCCCTTACCTGACTTCCGCATGGGGCTTACCCCTCCCTCTCCTGGCTGCCAGCGCCCAGGTGTCCTGAGGGTGGAGCCAGTTGGCCGAGGTTGCTTCCAGAAAACAGCTAAGCCCCCTTCAGCCCTAGGAGCCTCAGACAGCTTCCTGGGACAGGCGATGTGGAGGTGGGGGAGACAGTCTGGACCTCTCCTGTGGATCCCCCCATTGCCCTCCCCTGCAGAGGGGGTTTGGCTGTATGATGGGGTGTACCGAACTCTCTCCCAGGGAGAAGCAGGTGGCATAGTGGGTCTTAGTACAGAGGAGCACTCACCAGTAGTACCCCAGGGCACCTCTAGAGTCTAATCCTAAGCCCCCCAGCTCTAGTATTGATTCCCATACAGAGGAATTGGTCAAGGAGGAGCCGATGAGACAGACCCCAAAAAAGCTATCTTTTCCTACCCATGCCCAGTGTGGACTCCACTGGGAGCCATGTTGTCTTGGAGTGACTGAAGGGAGATGATGCTCTACATGCCAGGTCTTAAGCCCTGCTCTGAAGCCTGCAGATGGCTCTGAGTGGCCTGAGAGTGACCAACCTGTCCTGAGGACACTGAGGCCTGGGGAGAGTGGACATCCCCATCAGGGAGACAGTCCACCAAGCTGGTGAACTGTGACAAGTGGCCAGTCATCCACCCTGTGGTGAGGAGACCACATCTGAAAGCTGTTGTAAAGCCCAGGACACTGGGCCAGGCTTGGCAGGCAGGACACAAACACTGAATAACATCTTGGGCAGTTGGGGGGTGGAGCATCATTAGTGTCACGGGGTGTCATGGGGGGTGGGACCACCTGTGATGTCACAGGGTGTCCTAAGGAGTGAGGAGCATCTATGTTGTTATGGGGTGTCAGGGGAAGCACCTGAAGCTCACGGGATGTTGGGGGGACACCCCTCCTCCTGGGGGGCCAGAGGGAGCACCTGTAGCATCACAGGGGTTTCGGGAGGAAGGGAGCATCCTGCTGGAGGCCCAGCCATGCATTTCTTTGCTGCAGTCCAGGCTTTGGATCTGCTCGGGTCTTCTCAGAGGGATAACACAGCACTGCCTCTGCTTGGGGGACCTCATGGCAGCCTGTGACAGTACCAAGGGCCAGAACTGAACCACAAGGTGGCAAAGATAAAGGGAGGGACCAGGCAGTGCAGAATTGTGGGACTGTGAGGGAGCAAATCCAGAGGAAGGCAGAGCACCTGCATGATAGAAACCAATTGGTAGTAGCTTAAGCAGCCTGTGTCTTTCTCCTATAAAGGAAGTTTGGAGGCTGGGGATGTCACTCAGCAGTAGAACATGTTCTTAGCATGTGCAAGGTCCTGGGTTCCATCCCCAGATTCAGTGTGCAAGAAGAAAAACACATAAATTAAGGTAGTCTGGAGTTGGCAGTTCAGGATTTGTGTGGCTGATCTATTGGCCATCATGACACAGAATCCCTTCAGCTTGTTACTCTGCTACCTTAGACACCTGGTTCCTCTCCCCCACCACACACACACTGTCCAAGATGGCTGCTAAAACTCTCATCCACATTTCAGCTAGAAAGGAGAGGGTGGAGAGCACTACATCCCTCACATGTTTAGTCACATGACCACACCTTACTGCAAGGAAGCCTGGGAATGTAGTCTCTTTTCCTAAGGAGAAAGTGGGACCCTGGAGCACCCAGCAGCCCCAGCCCTGGGTCATGGGGTCTCATTGCCAGGTGAGACTTCAAAAACAATCAGCTAGGATTGTTGAGCACAGGAGGACCCCAGACTCTGATCCACATTACTAACCAGCACCTGGACTCTCAGTGTCAGGTGTCACCCATTAGTCCCCAGTGCAACCTGCTCATGATATTTTGTTTGAGGAGGGGAGAGGAGGGGAGAGGAGAGAGGGGAGGAGAGGGGAGGAGAGGGGAGGGGAGAGGAGAGAGGGGAGGAGAGGGGAGGAGAGGGGAGGGGAGAGGAGAGAGGGGAGGAGAGGGGAGGGTACACTCAAAGAGTGTATGAGAACATAGGAAAATGCTTTTACTGAAATGAAAAGAGGTAGCTTGTAGACGTGTAAAATTTTATTTCATTTAACTAAAATGCGCTGAAGTGCAGGAACAGCAGATCCATGCTTGATATTCATGTTAACTTGACAACTGAACTGTGGTGGTGGAATATGCTCTTCCTTAGGTTACTCTCCTTTCAAACTTCATACCACAAACACATACCACTCTCATAAACTTTATTATAATATTACGGCCTACTACTATAAACCTTATTTCCTTCAGATTCAGCCTTACTCTGGGACCTGTAGTTTGGAAGGAAGCTAGGGAAGAAGCAACAGTAGGGTGGATAAACCCCTGGTGGGCAGTGTTGGCCCTGCCCTTCTTGGCAGAGAACTTTGCTCCAGATCACATGGGGCTCCTTCTCTTACCAGTGGACTCTGGACCCTGCCACCCTTTCCTTCCTCCTTTGATTCTGGAAGACCTCACCATCCCACCTGTCGTCCTCTTCCAGGGTCAAACTGCATCTTTGCCCACCTGTTGTCTTCCCTGAGGGCCAGAGTGCAGCAAGAAGCTCCTCTCTATTCCCACTATCTCCTTTTAAGGGGGGGGAGACACTCTGTGAGGTCAGGATGATAAAAGTCAACAAGGACTCAAGGGTGCCCCAGAGAAATCCTGCCAGCAGGAGTGAGCAATGGCCTGGATGTGACCAAAGATACTGATGCCTTACTCCGGACAGCTCCTCTGGGTTCCTGCCTTCTAAGAGGATCCCGGGCACCCCCTCTCCAGCAGAAGACCCTGCAGGGAACGCACCTCTCCTAGGCTGTCCTCAGGTCTGCCTGAAGTTGTCCTTGCCTCTCTCACACATGGGGTGGAGCCTGCCCTGCAGGGACACTTCTGTCTCCCTGCTCTGCTTCCTGTCCTAGGCGCTCATAGTACTGTATTCTAGGCTCCCTGAGAAAAGTGTCAGGTGGCAGGTGTGCTTGAGTGGAGTTTTTCTGTAATCCACTCACCATTACAGATTTATCACGCCAGTAGTAGTAAGTCATTGTTCCTTTACAAATTCACAGGCTTCCTCTCCTTTCCTTGCAAGGGTATTTTTAGAAAGCATTTCAGCCAGTGTTCTATTTCCCACCGCGAGTGAGACTCCAGGGCCTAAGAAAACCCTGGACTCTGAGGTCAGGCTACGCCCACCTGAGCTTTGGCAGGCTCTGTTCCTGGGTAAGGCCGGAATTAGCTATTCCCTTAAACATTGCCTCCTTCCAGCATCTCTGTTAAGGCTCCCCTTTCCCAGGAGGGATCCCCAAGACCTGCGGCCTCACCTGCCACTCAGAGCTGAGGCACAAACCATTGGTCTTCCGAGACGCGTACCCCAAGTCCTGCGATGGGTCCACAGGTCCACGCATGCCCGGGGGAAAAGGGTGAGCACTTGAGCATCTGGGAGAGGCCAAAGGTTGAGGGGACCAGGTGGAGGTAAGCCATTTTCCCAGGCCCCGGTACACAGCGGCAGGTGGAGGGCTCGTGCAGATTCAGGGGAGAGGCTCTGAGCTCCAGGAGGGGAAGGAGGTGGACTCGGGGGTCACCGACTTGGCTGTGGCTCAGTTGCAACATCTGTAAACGAGACACAAAGTAGAACCCAAGGAATGGTGAAGATGCGCCGGCTACTTGCAAAGCGTTGGGAATTGCCAGTAGCAAGTGACCAGCGCTCCCGTTGATGGTGAACTAGCTGGAGACCTGCTTATGGGAAGCAGTGTGGTAGAGAGGAAGACTGACAGACCACGCCCCTTTCCAGACCACGCCCCCAAACGTTATCCCCGCCCACCTCGCCCACAGGCCCCCCCGGTCACGCCCCAGTCGGTCAGCTTCCGGCCCCGCCCCTGTCCGCTTTGCCCATCCCACAGGTCCCCCCCCGGGTCCCGCCCCACGTCGGCCCCCGCGAGAGGCCCTGCGCTGAGTGGAGTCGGTGTCCTTCCCGGCCCGGCCTCTGTACTCCGGAGAGGCTCCGGCTCTGCCGGGGAGGGAGGACCCTGGGCGGATTTGGGACAGACACCCGGTCCAGGAAACGGACCTACCCCTCCGAGAGCGAGTTCGGAGCCAGCGCCGTCGGCTGGGACCGCAGAAGAGGGCGCTGACGGACGGCTCAGGGCACAGCAGGGGCATCTGTCCGTGCGGCCAGCGCGCGGATAGTGCAAGTCCAGGATCACCCGGAAATCAGGCAGGGTGCCGCCGACCACACGGAGCCCCTCGGCTGCTTCAGAGCTCTTGTAGAACGGAGACCAAGGCTCAGCCTGGCTCTCCGGTCCAGCCCCGTGTCCGCCCACACCTTCCAGAGTGGCCACCGTGCCGTAGGCTGCCCCAAAGGCATGGGGCCACGACCTGGGGAGGGGGTGGCGGAGAACAGCAGTCCTCTCAGGACGCCAGTTTAATTGAAATACGCAGTTCACTCATTCAGAGCAGGAGGGTTCAGTGGGTTTTGGAAATTTGCTAGTACCAACATGGGATCACTCTGTCAGACCCTAACCAAAATGCAGTGGGACAATAAAGGCCTCTCCTGCTACCCTGCATTCCTGCAATGCTTGCACCTCCTGTCCCCCACTTGCACAGATACCTGAGAACCTCCTTTGAGGTGCAGCTTTTAGATACACCATCTCCACCAGTTCCTACAATTCATGCTTCCTTTCAAAGCTGTTTGCCAGATTATCTGTTTTAGAAAGTTCCCTTTTGTCTCAATTTTTTTTTGTCACTAAAGCAGGGTATCTTGAATTATAACTCCTTTGCCATCCCCATAATGAAACATTTTGTTTTATTATGTTCTAGAAGCTTGTCTGAATTTTCTTTTCATTTTTCACATTAACTGGGACTTTACTTAAAACCTAAACATTGTAGAGAAGAAATCAACTGATGTGTACATTGCTCTTGCTTTTAAATTCTAGAATGGGGAACACATTTTCAAGACTGCTTGAATACCTTTTCCCAGATTGCAATCCTAGTTAGCCCCAAATAAATATAATTTTCTTTGTTGAAAAAGCATTCTAGGATGGTTTGTGGGGTTTGTATTGTTGTAATCCTAAGATTTTTTCCCCAATTTTTATTTTATATATACTGGAAATACAGTGCTGATAATTGTAAGGAAATATAGGCCCCAAAAGTGACCACGTGGAGAGGAGTGATCTGGCCAAGAGATTCTTTATTGCCGGGTGGGAGAGGGAGGGAGCAGAGAGAGCCAAGAGAGAGAGGGAGAGAGGGGCAGGGGCTTAAATACCCTTCAAGTGGGACTCAGCATGATCTGATTGGTTAGGATCTTAGGGTTCATGCTGATTGGAGGTTGGGGCAGGAGGAGGATTCAAGTTAGACTTAAGGCAGGACTGTGACCCAGGGAGCAGGACCGCGTGACCCTGGAAAACAGGAGCTTAAGGGTGCAGTAAGAACTGAAACCTATCGGCGCCATTATTGCCAACAATAATTACCTCGGTTCTTGTGTCCAGCAAAATAATAATTTAACCAAGATGGAAAGAATATAGTAAAAGTAATAGTTTTAGTAGGAAAGGAATACACTTTCAACAGACTGAAATCGAGTTGCCTCAAGGGAGGTGGGTCAGGTTCTAAAATCGGAATATTTATTGAGAAGCTTACCTTTGGGTCCTTTTGGCCCCTGGGGTGATTTCCTGAGTTTGGGTCATTGTCTAGTTAAAGCGAATCATTGTATGATCTACTAGTTCCTGCTCTAATTGATAATTTGTTTGAAGTTCCTAACCTTTGCTCTATCTCACTCTTAGGTCTGGGTCTTTATTTTGTTAAATTTACTTTCAAAAAGTTCCCTGCACCAGACCCAGTTGATATTTAGGATGTGGGTTACACTTGGGTAAAGGGTGGATTAAACTCTAGGGTACTGGCTAAATTCAACGCATCCTGTGATAACCCCTGGGTTCTGCCTAGCTGATCTTAGAGATTAGTGGAGCTGGGACGTTGAATTACAATGATTTTTTTTTTCCTCTCTTCCTCTTCCTCTTGTGACCACCTTTTATGTCCACACGGAGAGTGAAATGAGTGGATTTTCTTTCTTAGGTAGCAGTTACCCATGTGATGGGTAAAGGCAGAGTAGATAGGAAACACGGAAATATTATTTTAATAAATATTAAAAGAGCCAGGCTCAGACATTAGAATAAGAAAGTTAAAAATTAAAATGCCAAAGCAGCTATCCTCCTCCCATCTCCTTTTAGATGATGAGGCATCTGCGTTCCTCTTCATTAAAATGCTAATAAGCTGCTGGGCTCCTTGGATGGGTGGAGGGACGGAAAGAATGAAAGGCATGTCTGGCGAGAGGGAGATCCTAAGGCACAACTCTCATCCCTGCAGGGAAGGCCTAGAGTCATCTCCCGTTTTAGCACCCATTTTACCAACTCAGATCCACTATCTTAATAATTAGAGGTTGCTAGACATGTCTACGTGTGTTCCCCCAGCTGAGAAAGACTAGAGATAAGGACCACCATCCTTTACTTCCCTTTCCTGCAGGGGAACAGGAAATTTTTTTTCCTCCATTTTAAAAAATTTATTTGGTGGTACTGGGTTTGAACTCAGGGCCTCACTCTTGCTAGGCAAGGACTCTACCACTTGAGTCATTCCACCAGCACTTTTTGTGTAGAGTATTTTTTGAGATAGGGTGTTGGGAACTATTTGCCCAGGCTGGCTTTGAACCTTGATCCTCCTGATCTCTGACTCCTGAATAGCTAGGATTACAGACACAACCCACCTGCACACAAGAAAGTATGTTTTTTTGTTGTTTTTTTGGTGGAACTGGGGTTTGAACTCAGGACGTCATGCTTGCTAGGTAGGCACTCTGTTGCTTGAACCACTCTGCCAGCCTTTTCCCCCGTCTTTGATTAAAGGTTGTTAGACATAACTATGAGTACTCCCCCAGGTGGTAAAGTTTAAGACTATTGATAAGGACCACCATTTTGAGTCTTTATTCCATTTCCTATATGAAGAACAGACATTTGTCCTATTTTCCCCACTGCACTCTATTTTTATCCTGCTATACTGTTTCTTTCCTGATAAACATTTTTCCATGTCTTAACTGAATTATCTGCCAGACCAAAGAACAGTAGTAGATAGCTTCACTGACTTAACAGTAACATTTTCAGTTTTGGCAGTCCCTGTTTTTTTTCTTTAAGCTTCATGAAGACCTCACAGCAGGATAAAGCGACCATTGGCTCTGAGTCTGGAATAAGTGATGAACTGGAAAAAGAAAATATATACCCTTTCATCATATGAGCAGTCAATTTAGTGATTAACTTGGTGAGGCTTTCCATAGGGTGGCAAAGAGCAACAGACAAAAAGGTAACATCGTAAGATTGTGTAGTGTGATCAGAAGTTTTCCAAATTATGTCCCACAGAATTCAGGCAGAACATGTAGATGTAGTAAGGAAGGTAATAAGAGTTTATTAAAGGTAAGGAGAAGGCATCACCAAAAGCATTGGTGTCCCCACCTAACCAGATAAGCCAAGTGGGATGGAAGTCAGAAGGAGAGGGAGAGCAAGAGAGCCAGAGATTTGATTCAAGGTGTTTTAAATTGAAGATATGCTGGAATGTCAAGAAACAGTGAAACAATGCAAACACTGGAATGTCAAGAAAACAACACACATACCTGCTCACCCCCAATGACCTTTCCACTAATGTGCAGCAACTCCCCCCATCATCCTTCCTAACCATCTTACTTAATGCGCATCCCTCTCCAACCTCCCTTTTCCAGCCACAGGATGTTTAAAAAGTCCCCAGCCTGTAAGAAAGGCGTGCTCTCACCCCCTCAGAGTGCTACTCTGATGGCTCAGGGTCCCTCTCAGGTCTTCTCTGCCTAATAAAGACCTGCTGCTTAAGAAGGTCGCAGATTCTTTCTCAGTATGTCTTTGCAGCTTCTTCACTTTCCTTTCAAGATAACCTGTGGGCTCCAGGGTTAGGGTGTTTTTATCTGAGAGATAACGGACTGCGGAGTCACCCCAAGCCTTTTTGTCCGTCTTCCAATTTGCAACAGCAAAGGATAGCATTGGGCCGAGATAGGAAGTTTAGCTTGAAACGTAAGTTCCCGGAGTCCATGACATCTTTCCCTATTTTTAGTCTGCCTCAGTCACAAAGACTTAAATGTAAACATTTTCTTGAGAGGGAAAGAAGGAAGGGTCCTGGATTTGGGGAGCCTCAGGTTGGTAAAAGAATTTACCAGCGGGCTAAGGGCATGGTTCAAGTGAGAGCACCCGCCCAGCAAGTGTGAGACCCTGAGTTCAAATGCCAGTGCCACCAAAAAAAAAAGAAGAAATTACTGAGACAGAGGGCAGAACAAAGATCTATTAGGACACCATGGAAAGGGGTAGAAAGGCCCACGGCTGTGCAAAGGAGCACAGTGACATGAGACAGGGTTAGGCCACTTTTGATTGGCCAGTTCCATTTTTGTGGACCTTACTGATTAGTTATCTTTTCCTGAGATTATGGTTTGAATTTACTGCTTGGGAACATCTCTGCAAGCTTGGCTTTTACTTCCAAGTTCCAGCTTGGCCAGCCATTGGGCCCAATCTTCTCTCTATATTTCCACCTGCTTCCTGGTATTCCTTTATACCCACATCTCCTTAAAATGGGGGCCTCCTCCACCAGAAGGAGCATGTTATTTTCAACAAATGGAAAACAGTTCTAAAGCCCACAAGTCTAGGCATACCTGTGAGAAATACGCTTATTCAAAGAATGGACTCAGACACATGGAGTACAGTGAAAGTGAGACTTTAATGGCAGACTTGCAAGATCAGGTGCCTGGCGAAGCAGAGACACTGGAAGCAGTTACCATAAGCATTATATCGTCTAGTTCATCCCCTGGTTCCTCCTTGTCTATGTACTATGGGATGTACATTCTTTTCCCTGCCATCACCTAGATTTCCTATTGGGTTATTTAAAATATGCCTCTGGGGATTGGTCAGATTTTAGAGGTTGAGTGGGCACTGGTGGCTCATGCCTGTAATCCTAACTAGTCAAGCAGAGATCAGGAGAATTGTCGTTCAAAGCCAGCCTGAGCAAATAGTTCGTGAGACCCTATCTTGAAAAAAAACATCACAAAAAAGGGCTGGTAGAGTGGCTCAAGGTGCAGGCCCCGAGTTCAAACATTGGTACCGAAAAAACAAAAAAACAAAAAACAAACTAGAGACCATCTTTAGGTGGTATCGGTCTCCTTTTTGGCAGGAAGGCCTCCCTGTGACGTGTACTTTCTGGAATGTACACAGTTTTTACTCTTTCCTGTAAGGTACTGCCGAATAAAGACCATGCCACGTGTGGAAAAGAAAGATTTATTAGGGACCAGACTTCAGGGCTCCTCGTGCCCCTCCCCCCAGCAGATCAGGGAAACAGCACCTTGGCTGAAATGAGTAGTGGGCTTTATAGGAGGGGCCCAAGCCATGGGGAGGAAGAGTTTCTGGCCTCTGATGATCCGGGATCACCAGATGAAACAGGTCGACATGCCTGACTAGTTGAGTAACTGGAAGTTCCCAAGTTGTTTTGCAAGCTGAGAAACAATCACAGAAACAAGCAGGGGAGTTGGGCAAGCAGTCAGGAATCAGGGGGTCTGGTTTCAGTGCTAGCCTTGGGATCTTCCGCCTGCCCCAAGAATGCCAGGGACCTAACAATTTCCTCACTCTCTTGTGATCTACCCCACCCAGTTTAAATTCCCTTATCAGTTGCCCCTACCTCAAGATCCCCAAGCTGATACACAAGCAAGTGACTAGGGTGAAATGCCTTGCCTTGAAAATGGACCACCACTGACTTCATTTCCAACATACCCAAACCATGTTCTATCTTAAGTAGGATCTTTTCTACCTCCTTTTCTTAAAATCCCTCCCCAGTGCCATCCTCACTTTTAATTCTCCCCACACTGGCAGATGGGGTTTCATCAGCTCTTAACGCCTAGATTTCTCAGGTGGGGCTCATAGACGTTTTTTCTGGAGGGCTCTCCTGTTCCCCATCTTCTTTGGCACAAGGAGCCTTTCCCTTTGATGTCTCTATGACCCTCTTCCCTTAGCCTTACACTAGACTTGGTATCATGGGACTCCTTAGCCTGACTGGATTTTGGGCATCTTGAGGGTTGGACCCCCTCCTCCTCCACGCCAATATACCACCACCACCATCACCACATACACATACCTGCCTGGAGATCAAACTCGGGGCCTTGTGCATGGTAGACAAGTGCTTTACCACTGAGCTACATCCCCAGCACTTGGTCTTTTGAGACAGGGTCTTACTATGTAGCCCACGCTGGCCTAGAACCTGGCATCCTTGTGCCTCCACCTCCCAAGTGCGGAGATCACAGGTGTGTACCACCATGACTAGCAAGGTTTGGACTTCTTAGCCATTGTTTTGCGTTCCTTTTTTGGAACTGCCATTGTCACTGTACTAGTCCTTCCATCAAGAAGTTTTCTTCTGGATGGCTCCCATCCTCCTCTGCTCCTCCTCACTGCCCACATCTGGTTGGATGCTGCTTCAGATGCAGCCTGTGCTTGTTGGTGCAGTTAGTTATGTCCTGTTCTTTTTGGTCTTCATGGTCCTCTGCTGAGCAATGATCATCCTTTTGTTGCCACATGTTTTCCTGGGAGGCCTCCCTATCTCCAGAGAGCTCTTTCCAGATCTCTTGTGTTTAGCTTCTGGGGAAGAGGACTGAATTTTCTTAGAGGGTCCAGGTGTGGCAGAGCATGCCTGGCATGCCCAGCACCGGAGAAAAGTCAGCAAGAGGGTCAGAATCTCTTTCCCTAGTCTTCTTCTGCATCAGATGAATAATCAATGCTTTTTCTTTTTTTGCATTGTAAGTTAAATTTTTATTGACATATATTAAATTGCACATAAGGGGTTTCTTCATGATGTTTCCCTATTACTTCCCTATTTCTGACAGGCCAAGATGTGTTTGTTGTCCAGAAAGGACCCTCCCCTCCAGTGCTGCCCACCCCCAACCGATCCTGAGCTACCGGCTGGGGACTTTGGCTCAACCCCAACTCCTGGTTCTTTTCCAGGATGATACATGCAAACGCTATTTCAGTCCACTTAGAGCATTTTCATCACCCTAAAAGAAACCTGAGGTGGGGTGGGGTGGCTCACTCCTGTCATACTGGTTACTTGGGAGGTGAAAATTGGGAAGACAATGGTTGGAAGTCAGTCCAGGCAAAAAGTTAGTGAGATCCTACAGGAAAAATAACTAAAGCAAAAAAGGCTGGGGGTATGGCTCAAGTGCTAGGGAGCTTGGGCCTAGCAGGCTAGAGCTCTAACCCCAGTACCACCAAAAACCAACGACAAAAAAAGAGCAAGCTGGGCATGGGGGTAACTCCAGTCACTTGGGAGGCATAGGTAGGAGGATCAAGTCCCAGGGTGGACCCAGGCAAAACGTGTGAGACCACATCCAAAAAATAAGAAAAAAAAAAAAAGTCGTACCCCTCGAGCCGCTGAAGGACATGGCCATTTCCACCTGCAGGGTCTCCGCCGCGTGGGCTGTGCCCCCGTCTCCCGCGTGACAACTCCGGTTAACCTTTGAGGAGCTGCCAGGCTGCTTTTCAAATGGTTCAACCTGAGTTCAAAAAAAAAAAAAAAAGCAATCAAATGGTTCTGAGTGGTTGGTTGGTTTACGGAGGGTCTGTGAGTGGGCGCCACTAAATCCAGGGCGCGCGCGCCGCGGTAACCCCGTCCCAAGAAGCGCGGGGCCCATCACCTAGCAACCGGCGTTGCCGTCCCGGCACGCCCCGCGCCCTTCGCTGGGGGCCGGCGCCCAGCATGCCCCGCGGCCCGGGCGCGCACTACGTGTCCCACAATGCCCCACAGCCCCGCCCCACTCCGCCGAGGCCCCGCCCCACTCCGCCGAGACCCCGCCGGGCGGCGCCGCGACCCCTGCCCGCCGCCCGCGGCCAGGCCGGCTGTGTGGGCCGGGCGCCATGCGGAGGGGCGAGCGCAGGGCCGCCGGGGGCTCGCGGCCCGGATCGCCGCTGCTCGAGGGCCGCCGCAGCACCGAGTCCGAGGTCTACGACGACGGCACCAATACTTTCTTCTGGTGAGGACCGGGGGCGGGCAGGAGATGCGCGCCCCCGGGTCGGGTCGGGATTGGGTGCCAGGTCTGGGGCGGGTGGAGCCGGGCGGGACGGAGACTGAGGCCGGGGGTCTGGGGCACAGCGGGGTCGGAGCCGGGGGCGAATGGGGGCTGGACGTCGGTCGGGGCAGGTCGGGCCCGGTGTCCAGCGGCGAGCAGGCCCGGCGGAGCCCCCCCAGGTCGGCTGCGTTTCTGATGGCCCGCGCGGCGCCTTGTTAGGGTTTGGCTGTGGAGCGAGCTCAGGGACGCTTTCCTTGGCCTCGCCGTCGGATGCGCGCGCTCTTCGCTTGCCCACGCTGCTGGGCAGCCGCCGGGGTCCGCTGCTTCTCCCCGTGGCAGTGCGGTGAACCGGCTTAACGGGCATGGCATCTCGCTTTGTGCCAGAGTTTGCTCCGCGCTGGAGCAAAGGCCCCACCACTCTTCAGTGAACCTGCCACGGCGCGGCCAAGCTGCACTGTCTTGTGGAGTAGGCGTCCAGGTGTAGCTGGAACTTCGGTGCTCTGTTGCAGGGCTTATGACACCAGCCTGGCTGAGAGATCCCGAGGCGGCTCCTTGACCTTGGGCTAACCCTTGCCCTCCTTTGTGAGAAAGGCAAAAATCCATCAACCACACAGCATAGTTCATGAGAAGGGTTTCGTTCTTCTTTACTGAGGAGGCTCAGTTCCCATGCAGCGGAACAACACTGGAGTCCTAGGATAGACCCTGTAGACAGGTGGAAAGTGCCCCAAGAGTCAGATGCATTACCCCTGTAGAGGGCATGTCGGGTGGAACAGCTGTAAGAGAATGGAGCCACGGCTTTGTTCGAAGCACATCTGATCACAGAGTGAGGGGAGTCTGGTGGGGAAATGATTGGACATTTTAGGGAAAGGTACCACCACGCAGATAGGGAACTTTGAGTGACCCCATTGTATGGTGTACTGTCTTGCATTGAAGTTGAGGGAGGCTCCAGAGGGACACAAAGTGGCGGGAAAGTGGGTTGGGTGGAGGAGGTGGCCCTGAATCTGGATCTTTTGTCAGTGCCTTCCTGGGGTGCGGACAGCTTCAGCAGGGGGTAGCCAGCCAGTCCTGCTTTGGTAACTGTGTAGCCATTCAGAGGGAGAAAAATGTGGGGTGCCTCAAGTTGGTGGGGCACAACCCCAGAACTGGTGCCACATGGACTTCTCTGACCTCTGGGCCCTTTGGACATCAGGCCTCTCCATCATGCCTGTAGGACTGGAGGGAGGCAGCAATCCTCTCACAACACAGCTAGTGACCACCTGGAGTGAGTGGCTGGCTCACTCTCCTTGCTTCATACTCACTTGTTTACCATACTGGGTGCCATTATCATCCTGGGAGATGAAGCAGGGAACTGAACAAGATCTTAGACTCAGAACAGTCCTGAAGTTTGAGAAGGCACAGAAAATGTGTCTGAGCAGGTGCTGAATGTGCAGACCCTTGAACTTAAGCATTGTCCTCCCCTGGAGCCATGGAGGCTGCAGCAGCAACAGCAAAGGCAGGTGCTGGTGTGTGGAAGTGAAGACCAGTGACTCTTGAGGCTCTGCCCACAGGAGTGTTTTAGGGGGCAGATACCTGGTCATAGCAGAGCTTACCTGTGAGGAGGCTGAGTCAAGGGGGGCTTTTTCTAGGAGACTGTGCAGGGCTGGCTGTTTTCAGGTGCCTCCTTCCTGGATCTCCTGGGTAGTAGTCTGGCTTTTCCCCAAAACCCTGTGCATACGCAGAAGCACATGGGACAGGTTCTTAATGCATCTGGGGGCAGAGAAGCATGCTTCACCTTTCCTTATGGAGGTGACAGATGCTTTCCTAGTGAGAGTTACTGATGCTACCTGCAGAACTTCGCCATTAAGCTTCTGACCCCACCCACTGACCTGCTGTGCTAAGATTTTAAAGACTTTTAGCTGGACAGGTATATAGCTGTAATCTCATAACTCTGGAAAGCTGAGCCAGGATAGTGAATTCAAGGCCAGACTGGACCACATAGCGAGACCTGATCTGTGATTAATAAAAACACCCTCATATTTTGGAGAATTTTAATAATGAAACGTAAAGTTGGCATAAATGGTCATCTAAAAAGTGTTTATTTGTAGATTCCAAGTTCACCAAAAGGGACTTGTGCATGAACCAAAACGTTTTTAGGCTTTCATTTCCAAAGACAGTTGGGCCTCGCTGGGGCCTGTCCAAAGGCCTTGGACTTAGGTGATAAGGACACCTGCCTCTACCATCTGCGGTGCTCTCCAGTAGGGAGCTTCTGGGAGGAGTGTTTCAGACCACAGACTCAGAAGCACTGCTCAAAGAGGGTCATCTTGTGTCTAAATAAATTGTCTGGAAGAATCTTGGCAGACTGCTACCTAGTAGAGGTACCTCCTGTCAGTGAAAGGTGGTGAAGCACTCATGGATTCCTAACTTAATAACTAACTGCCATCAGGGATGAAATCTGTGACATTTTGAGAATTTGTATTGTGTGCTTGTATCTTAGAACTCAGTTCCTTTAGGGAGCCTTCTCAGTGATTCCCTGCTTCTTAAGTAGCTCTTTAACCCTACAACCTCAGATTTCTGGAAGATGCCCTTCTCAGCTACTGCGGGTTAGGGCTTCCCCAGCTTTGTCCACATCTGGGAAGCATGACTCGCTAGTTGATGCCTTTTTGGCCATCAGTCGATAGGCCAAGAGGGCCAGTGTCACAGCCTGGCCTCTTGCAGACTTTGGGCAGGCCCTGGCCCTTTCTTGGCAATGCCTAGGCGTTTTCCTGGTTTGTCTTGGCAGGTCTGCCTTCCTGCCCTCTTGGCGTGATTAGCATGGTCGTCTCTAGAGAGAGGTGACAACTGGGTATTTTCCACTCCTGGCAGGGAGCAGTCCTCATCCACCCCCTTGCAGAAGACCAGAATTTACATAGGGCAGCTTTCATCCTGTGCCCGATTACGGGACCCAGAGTTTCCCTGTGTCTGCCCACCCAGGGAGGAGCAATGAAGTGCTTCTCTCTGTAAGCCATTGTACAGATCTGGTGTCCTGGGAGGGCAAAGCCACCCACCTCTGGAGCCTGTTCCTTCGATGTATGCTGTAAGGAGAAATAAGATGGGGTCTCCTTTCCAGCAGCAGTTCAGTTCAGCAGACTTCAGTTCTGAAGTCTGTCCTACAGCAAGTCTATTGTGCTTGTGCCCTTCCTCTCTGGGGCTAGGCCCTTTTTTCCTGCTTCAGCTTCCTTAGAGCTAAGGAGGGGTGGGGGGAAGGCTTGAATGACTGTTTGAACAACAGTGTGAACATCTACCTCGAGGGCAAAGGGATATTTTTCAGATGATCTTTGTGTTTTTAGGAAAATGGAAAGATAGTGTTCCCCATCAATGGTGACAAATGATCAGGGCTGCCCTCAACTGGCTGGTCACTTTAAAAACTACAGAGGTAATTGTGTTAGTGAGAAGTAATACTAAAGAAAACAAAGGGCTGAGGTCATTTTTCAGATATGGGGAAAAGGCTTCCAGGTTCTACTTTTAGCTTATGTTAGTAATATCACCATGTATGTGCCTGTGCTGTGGCACTGGGACAAGCATACATAGAGCAGAGATGCTCAGTCGGCTGAGGAGTAAAGGTCAAGCCTGTCCTGTACAGGACCAGTGGGTTACATGTCATGTGAATACCTAGTGATACCATCTGGCTCTGACACTCGTGTGTGATTTTGGATTCAGGCGAGCCCATACCTTAACTGTGCTGTTCATCCTCACCTGTGCACTGGGCTACGTGACTCTCCTGGAAGAAACACCTCAAGATACAGCCTACAACACTAAGAGGTAACTGGTGCCTGGTGTGGAGGGTGTGGTGTCCTTCCTGTCCCCCTGACCTCCCCCTCATGTATGTCTGGGGTGCCCTGCTCCCTCAGCCCCCCTGCAAGCTGTGTTACTGGTCACCAGGACCAGTGACCCACAACTTGCACTGCAGAGGCTGGAATGTGCTGCAGCAGCATCTGGGGATGGACTCCCTAGCTGGCATGGTTCTATGGTGGTATTGATACTAATACTTCCCAAATATTTAAACCACTTTGAGAGACTAAGTAGATATTCTATGACCACTTGTGACCTTGCCTCAGGATTCTCCAGAGCAAGCTGGTCACAGGCTTGTCCTAGCCTCTGTTGCAGGACTCCTCTGCCAGTCTCAAGTGTGTAGGGCAAGCTGCTCCAGAGCAGCCTGAGGTTTTGTGCTTGACAGACTCTCCCATTGCTCAGGCCTGATCCTCAGGCTTGGGTGTCTGCCCAGGGCTGCTTCCTGGCCAGGAAGGCCAGCTGCTGCTGTCAGGACCCAGGTCCCACTTGCTCTGGTGGGAAGGCTGCAGGAGACCAGGGAGAGGTCTGGTGGGGCAGAGGAAGATGGTAGAGGCCAGTCAGGCCTAAAGTCAGCTCTGTTTGGTGGCCTCAGGCTTGTGGAACCTCTGTAGTAATGACAGCTCTAGGCTAGCACTTCATTTTTGACAAATGAGGGTCTTATTGTTTTCTGTGAGAATTAGATGGAGTAAGGGTGGGTGTGATGTGAACATGGTGTGTTTATGCCCCACACATGCCAGCAGGCCCTGATAGGCTGACCAAATCACTTTAAGTGGCTCATCATCACTGTGGTAGGCTTCAGAATACAAGGGTACTCAGCCTGTCTGTCCAGGACATGTTAGAGCCACCCACAGTAACCCTAATAACGGTCTTGTGTCTTTGGGTGCAGCTGGGCACTTCTGATAAGATGTTACTAGTCAGGGCTGCTGGGCCTATGGAGCAGGCTGCTCCTTGGGGGCTTCTGTGTCATTACTGTGCATTGCAGTTGACCTCTCCCTGTCTGTCATTCCCACCTGTTCCTGGCCCTGAACTCTATGGGTTTTTCTTTCTTTTTATGAGCCTAGGGTGCCAGGCCCACCAGCCCTTCTATCCACTGTATCTGGCCCGGCCTGTGCTGAAACCTACCTCTGAATTCCATTTGCAAGCCTGCTTGACCCTTTCTCCTTTTTTTCAGGCAGTCTCCTGCTCCACCCTGAGTCGTAGGCAGGGCCTGCAGGCTTGGTGTGCGCTTTGGGAATAGGAGACCAGTATTAGATGAGAAATTTGTGCTGTCTCGGCCCTCTGCACAGTGCCCACTTCTGTCCTTGCTGACTTGGTACCTGTGTAGGGGCTACCTGGGAGATGCTGGCATTGAGGCTGTGGGCAGGTGCCCGCATCTACTCAGAGGGAAGTTCAGAGTAGAACTGAGTCTTTTTAATTCATCTGTGGGCACCTGGGCATGAAGGGTTTGTAGCATTTGCTGGGTACTGCAGGAAGTCAGTCCTGGAGATAGGACTTGGCTATATCTCAGGAGGTCTTTCCCAGGGGACTGGAGGTGTCACTCAGAGATGAGCAGTTGTGACATCACTAGGTAAGAATTGTTGCAAGGAAGAGTGTGCCACTCCTCCGAAGAGCATGTCCATGTAGAGGTGATTCCTCCTAGAAGTTGTCACACAGGTGAGTTGCAGAGCCACTTGCTGTCCTCCAAGACCTGGGCCCTGTTGTCAGTGCTGGGTGACCTAGAGGCAGTGTGGTCAAGAGCACAGACCCCTAAACTTAAAGTGGGCAATAGGTATAGACCTGTGTGGGCATGGCCCTCCTTCATCCAGCACTGACCTCCTGAGCTGCTTCTGCATAGTGGGGGACATCTAGTCTCACATTCCTGTCCCACTTCAAGAGCACAAGGCAGCTGGTGGGACCTGGAACCTGCTCTCAACTCTTCCCTAGGAAATTCCATTTTCACCCCAGGTCACCTTGTACTGTCCACAGCTCTGCTACCTTATCCAGTGAAGTTGTTCTTGGTGCATCTGTCCCGAGTCTATTCTCACCATCCCCTCTGAGCCACCACACTTCACACCAGGACTTCCGTGTCAGACAAGCTGGTTCAGCCTCCCTGTCTAGGCACCTTAGCACATTCAGGAGACTGCTAAGACTAGTATATTTTCATTTTGTGGGAGTTTTTTTTTTTGGGGGGTGTTTTTTGTTTTTGGAAGCACTGGGATTTCAATTCAGGGTCTTACACTTGCTAGGCAGGTGCTCTTACCCCTTGAACCACTCTGCCAACTCTTTTTGTAATGGGTTTTTTTCAAGATAGGTTCTCTTGAACTGTTTGCCCAGGCTGGCTTCGAACTGTGATCCTCCTGATCTGACTCCCGAGTAGCTAGGATTATACAGGCCTGAGTCCCTGGCACCTGGAGAAAGATTTATTTTATATTTTCTTGTGGTACTGGAGATTGAACACAGGGTCTCCAATATGCTAGGCAAGCACTCAAGTGTTCTACTACTGAGCTACAATCTCAGGCCCCCCTCCTCCTACCTCCAGCCTTCTGAGTAGCTGGGATCATAAGCATACACCAACACGTGGAGGTGCTTGCCACCATGTCTGTCCATCTACTGCCACTTACAGACATGGAATATTTCCTTTGCCCAGGTTGCCTCTGGCCTCAAGCAGCTGCAGGTCTGGTGCCACAAAGTCTGTTTTCATAGGAGTGGGGTTGCTACCATTGCTCCTTTGTCTCTGGCTTCTTCCCCAGAACAGTGGTCAAGTGTCATCACATGTGTGTGCTGGTGATGTTGGTGACCTATGCCTGGTTCATGATCCATCTGTGGTGACCTTGGGGGAGACTAGGTTCTCTTGCATTCACAGTTGATTAGCTGTCCATTCCATGTACAAACTTAGTAAATTAAAACTCTTCACACATTGTAATCATATAAAATACACTAGGTCAATAACATATAAAACGAATATGTTTTGAGACTTTAAATACCTATAGTCACAGTACTGTGGAACAAAATTGGAGAACTGACACTCCCAAGGCCTGCTATAAAGCCAGTTGGTAATCAAGACTAGCATGTGGGCAAAAATCAACATAGATGGTGGACAAAACCAAGAGCCCAGAAATAGATCCTCACACATGGAGTCAACTGCTCCATGACAGAGGAGAAAGGACAGTCTCCCACAGGTGGTTCTTGAAACAACTGGACATGCTCATGCAAAAAAGCCGAATGAATCTAGATGCAGACTGTACATTTTTCTCAAAAATCTTTTCCAAGAGGTTTAGAGACCAACCTAGATACAAAATGCAAAGGAAAACAGGCTGTCTAGTGGCCCTGGGCTTGGTGATGACTGCTTAGGCACAGCACCAGCAGCACCATCATGGAGGGTTCTCGACAAGCTTGACATCATTAAAGTTAGCAACTGTTAGAGGTGAATGGTAAGGCAAGCCACAGGCTGGTCACACATCTGATAAAGAACTTGTATTAAAAGTATGCAGAGAGCTCCAAAGCAGACTACTGAAAAAAAAAAAAAAAAAAAAGCAACACAATTAAACCTGGGCAAGCTGGGCATGGTATGTGACCTATAGCTCCAGATACTCTGGAGGCTGGAATCGAAGGGTCACTTGAGCCCATGAGTTAGAGACCAGTCTGAGAAACAGCAAGACTCCATCTCAAAAAAAATTAAAAAGCAGGCAAAAGACCTGAACAGACACCTCACAAGCTGGACATAGAGGAGGCAAACACAGCACGTGAGAGGTGCTGTGTGTGACACATCACTAAGGAACTACAGACTTAAAACAGTGAGATGCCACTGCACACACAGGAAGAGCTGAAATTTAAGAAGTGACGCCACCAGACTGGTGAGAGATGCAGAGTGGTGTGGCCACTTTGGAAGACAGAACTCGTAGAACCAAAATTTTTGCCATGTGACTCATCCAATCAAATTAAAAATTTACAGCCACACAGAAACCTGCCTGTGAATGTTTGTAGCAGCTTTATTCACAATTGCCCAAAACTGAAAGCAATAAAGCTCCTTCAATAGTGAATAGATGAGCCTGCCTTATCCACAGATTTAGTACATGTGGTTTTGACCAAGTGCCAGAAAATAAACAGATGATCAAAAGATCTCAAAAACAGTTTTTAATTTCTGCATACATATTATGCAGCTAGTGGATGTGAAGAAGCTCGGTCACTTCCCATTATCATCTGCTCTGTTTAAATCATTGTGTGATTTGCTAAGTGTTTCCTTGCTCTTAATTTTGTGAAACTATGCCTCCCTAAAAAGCATATGGTACTCAAATAGCAAGGTAAAGGTCATGGTAATCCTCCCAAGTCAGAAGGGCACATAAATGCTTAATTTAAGTGCTAAAGTGAAAATTTTAGCTGTGTTGGAAGGTGGCATGTCTTTAGCAGAAGTTGGGTACATTATGGGAAAAATGAACCCAGCATCTGCAGTACAGCACTGATCTCTATGTACCATGACCATTCACGGTTTTTCCTTAACAGTAGTCTCCATGGAACCATGTACTCGTGTGTACCAAGGGTCTACTGTATTCTATTCAGTAGTAGTAAGAAATGAACCATCAAGCCACAGACAGGAGTCTTAGACACAGGTGCCCAAATGGAAGAAGCCAGTTGAAAAGGCTGTATCTTTAGGGTATGTATTAGGTGGCATTCCAGAAGAGGTGACAGAAGAAGCATAGGTGGAGCTTAGGGCATCTTCATGGCAGTGAAGCTGCTCTATCTGGTGCTGTAATGGTGACCACATTACATGACATGTTTTTCAGACCCGTAGAACAACACAAATGAAAAAATTTACAGGCTAAGAGTGTAGCCTAGTGGAATAGTGCTTGCCTAGTGTGCACAAGACCCTAGGTTCCATCCCCAGCACTGAAAAAAAAAAAAAGCCAGACAATACTAATTTAGGAGACTAAGACCCCAGAAAGGCAGGCAGACAGACTAAGGAGTGACTTGATTTACAAATGCACCAAGACTTCGCCAAAGCATCAGGAAGGTAGAGTCTGTAAGACTAGAGGTAAAGGAGTTGCATGGAGTATGTGTGCTGGCTGATGAAGCTGTAGTCACGGGCTCTGGGTATAATTGCCACTGCTGTGTGTATGATTGTGTGGGAGTGTGTGTTTAGGTTGGTCAGCAAACTCATGTTTGATTTAATACAGACAAATTTGTTGGGCTGGGTGTGGCTCAAATGGTAGAGCACTTGCCTAGCAAGCTCAAGACCCCGAGTTCAAACCCCAGTACTGGCAAAAAAAAAAAAAAAAGTACAAATAGAAATCTTGTACGTTTTGGCCTTCTGATTTTTTGTTTGTTTTGACAGTCTGGGGTTTGAACTCAGAGACTATACCTTGAGCCATTCCATCAGCCCTTTTTTGGTGGTGGATTTTTTTTGAGATAGAATCTCAGGAACTATTTGCCCAAGGCTGTCTTCGAACCCATCATCCTTCTGATCTTTGCCTCCTGAGAAGCTAGGATTACAAATGTAAGCCACTATCATCTGGCCGTTTTGCCCTTATGTGTCCACTGGTTCCACATCTGAGGATTTAACCAACCTTTGACTGAAAACATTTGAAAAAGTTGTACTGAACAGGTACAGACTTTTTCCTTGTCATTATTCCCTGAATAATGCAGTATCACAACTACTTACATAGTATCTACATTGTATTAGATATTAGAAGTAATCTAGGTGATTTAAAGTACGTGTGAGGCATATGTAGGTAAATATGCAAATACCGTTTTATAAGGGACTTGAGTGTCTAGGGATTTTGGTATCTCTGGGGGATCCTGAAAGCAGTGTCCTGCAGAGAGCCTGGGTGATTGTTTTGTTATACAGGATCTCTGTAGGCTAAACTGGCCCAGAACTTTGGGTCCTCTTCCCTTTATCTCCCCAGTGCTGGGATTACAAGCATACACCAGGCAGGATTATTGTGTATGCATGTATATGTGTGTATGCATGTATGTATGCATGCATGTGTGCAGATTTGTGCTCTTCTGTGAACCGAGAGCCTAGAGCCTGCCTCACCCAGTGGCAACAAGCACATGCAGCACCCAGATCTCAGCATCTAATGTTCTCCAGTGAGGACCAGACTCCTAAAGAGAAGTGGATAATTCCAGGGCTAGGCAGGAAATGCCCAAAATGAGCCTGGAGCTTCCTGTAGTGTTAATGGCACAGATTCTGTCTGATCAGACTTCCAAATTCTTTGTGTCCCAGGGGGAAGAATACATCATAGGACACGTGGGTTAAATGGAGTTTATTAAGTTAGGGAAGGGAAATACAAAAGGGAGCATGATGGCACCCAGGTGGAATCTGGAGGCAGAGAGATCATGCTTCTCTTTTTATTTTTAAAACTTAGACTAATCTATGGGAAGGGAGAAACCAGATGATTTTCATCCAATAATCAGTGAATGGGGAAGGGAGGGCATGGGTGGTTCCCATCCAGGTGAGGGCCATCCCTGAGCCAAAGCATGGTTAATCTGAGGTATAATATTTGTTCATGAGTCCCAAACTTTCCCTAATTTTAGCCTGCCTCAGTAGTGTCTGAAAGTCAGCAATTCAGAAAAATAAAGTCAACAATAATGGGTTATGTCAAAGCAATACAGGAGCCAAACAAAAGAGCCCCCTGTGGTCAAAGCTGGAATAGTGTAAGCAGCAAAAGCATGATAGTGTTGGAGCATAACCCAAAGTATAAAATAAGTCTCCATAGGGCTGGTGGAGTGGCTCAAGCAGTAAGAGTGCCTTCCCAGAAAGCATGAGGTCCTGAGTTCAAACCTCAGCCCCCAAAACAAAACCAAAAACAACCTAAAGTAAAATGAATAATCATGAGTCCATGCTGATATAAGTAATTAAAACAATCAGTGGGGTAGGAGGGGTGCATCTCCCATGCAGAAGAATTCCAGATAAATTATGTAAGCTATCCACCCTAAGGAGGAAGCGCTAAGTCCCCTTCCCATAGCCATGGCAGTACAGATGGCTTCCCATTCTGTGCTCTCGGGAAAGAACTCCAAGAGTAACCTGACCATTATTACACAAGGGTAGCTTACTCAACACTACTGTGTACATAGTAGACAAACTTAAGTCATCATTTGAAACATCTGGTCTTTCTAGGCATTTAAGTAGCTTTTTTTTTATTTTGTGGTACTAGAGTGAACCCAGGGCCTAGCACTTGCTAAACAGGCATTCTACCACTTGAGCCATGCCCCCAGCTGTTTCTAAATGTTTAGAAGTGCACAAAAGTATGTTAAAAATAGAGGTAGTAAGCTAGGCACTGTGCCTCGTACCTATAATTCTAGATACTGGGGGGATTGGGAGGATCTTGGTTCAAGGCCAGCCCAGACAAAAAGTTAGTGAGACCCCATCTCAACCAATAAAAAGCTGTGTGTGGTGGTACATACCTATCATCCCAGCTATGGGGGAAACAAATAGGAGGATCGCAGTCCAGGCATAAATGCATGACCCTATTCAAAAAGTAATTAAAAGTAAAAAGCTTTCATTTTTGCTGGGGGGTGTTGCTCAAGTGGTAGAGCTCCAGCCTAGCAAACTTCAGGACCCAAGTTCAAACCACTGTACCACCAACCAAAAAAAAAGAAAGAAAAAGGAGAGGTAGTAAATAACACATTTTGTAGGTTCATAATGAAATAATTGTCTTTTGAAAATGGAGTGATAAAGCCACTTCTTAAGTAGTACACATTATGTTTGTGCTGGCTCAGAGAGGGAGGAGAGAAAAGTACAAAGGGTTTAATTACCAGTGTGTTTTGCACAATTGACCATCATCCCTTAAAACAGACAAAAAAAAGAATCAGTTTATGGTAGAGACCAGACAGATGCCCCTCAGCCAGGTGTTTGGGGCCAGCACAGCAGTCCTCACAGTCCAAACCATGTGCACAGTGGGACCCTGATCAGAGGTGGCTGGAGGACCTTTGCCCTGGGGTCTCCCTTCCCAGGCCAACAGCCCAGTCTAACTATGAGGAAAACAGCAGACAGATCTTGGCAGAGGGAAACCACCAACACACAACCAGTCTTGCTCACATCCATCCAGGTCATCAGAAGCAAGGAGGGCCCATGTCCCCATCACAGCCTGAGGACCCCATGGACACGTGACGACTGGATGTCATGTGGGGTCTGGGGTGGGCATCTGGGGCAGAGAAGGATGTTGGGGGAACTGAGTAAGTATGGATAAAGTGTGAGCTTGGGTTTAAAGTGTATTAGAAAAACACAAGATTTTTGTTTCCCTTTTAAGTTACTTCCTGTGCTCAACTGGCCTATTTCCCAAGTATTTAAGTAATTCTTATCATTAGCCTTGTGAAGTCATTATAATGTGGGCTATGTAGTTTTGATCAAGCTCCCATGCCACCTGGTCTAAGCCAGCCCCTGGGCTGTGTGTCTTGTGCCATGGGGTGGCTTCCTTGGCAGGCTGAAGCACCTGATAACATAGCCTTGCCTCAGGTGACCCAAGCAGTGGCCTCACTTGGTTGGGGTTCTCTATCCCTCCACCTAACATTCTAATAGCTCTCTTCCTGGCAGTGGAAGGGCAGCTGAGTTCCGCCTGTGTCTTGCTTGAGGTACCCCTTCAAGGCGCTTCTCCCATCTGCTACTCCTGCCTGGTGCCCATGTGGTAGAGATGGTTCCCACCTGCTGAGCAAATAACAGGGATTCTCATCCTGGCAGCAATGGTGTATGAGCTGGGACTTGGTGTAAACAATGGTCCAGAAACTTATGTGTACCCTTACCGGGGGGTGGGGCATAAATGTTCCACCAAGGTTGGGACCTTCAACTGGGCCAGGAGTTGTTCTCTGGCCCCAGATGATCAGGCTGTGGTCTTTTGAGTTTATGCTAGCCACCCTGACTGGGCTTAGTCTCAAGACCCTATGTCAAACAAGATGGAATGTGAGGGACACTTGACTAGGGCCAGGTATGGCTGGAACTGGTGTTCCTATGGACAGAGCTATCTCCATATCTGCTGGCCTAAGTAGTTTTCAGGCAGAGATAGTTGGTCTGTCAGCTGGGGCTGTCCTGGAAGCTTTGCCGAGGTGGGGCACCTACCCCAAGCTCCTGCCAGCATAGCCACATGCTCCTTCCTGGGGCCAAGCTTCCACTCCATGCACTATGTTTTATGTGATTGGTGTAGTGGTAGGTAGGGCCCTGACCTTTCCATCTTATGCCTATAGAAGCCAATTGGTATAGAGAAGGTGACCCAACAGGACAGAAGCACTCCCTAGGAGTACCTGCAGGGCCTGTGTGTTGTAGTGTACAGCTATTAGATCTTAACCTCTTAGGGGACTTTAGTGAACTCTGATCATAATAGGTGGAGTTCAGGGTTCTTTAATGTAAAATATGTGTATTAGAGGTGACACTGGCACTGGAAATGACAAGTGGTGCAACACAAGGGCATCCCAAAAGTGGTGTCACATCTGTGGGCCATCAGAGCTGAAGAGGTGGCTGCAGTCAGGAGGTGGAGCGAGTCCAGAGAGGGCCAGCATTCCTGCCGCAGAGTCTCTGGCTCTGCTCAAGCCCCTTCCCGCTTCCTTGCCCTTGGGTGCCAGGGGCTGGCCCACAGTATGTATCCCTGGGTCCCTGCTGCCTACCACTTCTGCCTGAAAGAAGCTTGCACACACTGAGGGGCTGTTTGTTCTTTGTTTACAGAGGTATTGTGGCCAGTATTTTGGTTTTCTTATGTTTTGGAGTCACACAAGCCAAAGATGGGCCATTTTCCAGACCTCATCCAGGTAACTTGCCATTTCTCTCTCCATGTGTGCCACATGGCACTTACGTCCTGAGCGGCCACTCTGTATCTGTGCAGCTGGGTGTTAAGTGTCCTGTCCTCTCCTTGGCCAGCTCTCCCTGCATGGAGAGGCCTGGGGCTCAGCCACTCGTGTTCCTCCTCTTGTAGCTGCAGATGTTTCTCCCACCCTTCCTTTTTTTCTCCTCCTTGTCCTATGGCTCCTCCACTCTCTTCCTGCAGACCAAGGCCATTGGAGGGGATGTGGCTCAGGCTGGGAACCTTGGGGTGGTTGCTGGGTGCTCTCTGCTTTTGTCACCCCCATCCTGACTTCTCACAAATCCCTGGGACTTGAGTGCTCCCTGCTCCCCTGAACCTCAGCTGGAGGACACGGGCTACTCACTGCATGCCTTCCCAGCTGGCACCAGGACTGCAGTCCCTCACAAAGCCTGGCTTAGCGGCAGCAGGGTCGGTTGATCTCCCTCCAAGTCAGAGCACAGCAATTAGAAACATGTTTCTTCTCTCTCAGTAGGGATGTGAATTATGGGAAATACAGAAACTGTTTTTAAATGTTTAAAATGGCCACCATTAAATTTTGTTGTGTATGTGTATCTGTGATAGCATCTCACTGTGTTGCCCAGGCTGGTCTTGAACTCCCAGATTCAAGCAGTACTCTGCCTGAATAGCTGGGACTACAGGTGCATGCCACTGTGACAGGCTTCCCTATTTATTTGGCTGATGGATTTTTTTTTTCCTTGAGTCACTCACTGTGTAGCCCAGGCTATTCTCAAGTTCCTGGAATTAAGGATTCCTCCAGCCTCCGCTTCCTGGGTAGCTGGGATCACAGGCACATGCTACCATGCCCAGCTGGTTTTCAGTTTTTTGATAAATTAGGCAGTGGTGAATTTTTGCACCCATGTTCACATGTTTACCTGATTACTTGTTTGATAAAGCATCGTTCTAGGATTAAGGATGAGCATATTAGCCCTCTAGACGACTCCTGTCTGCCCAGGGCCGGTTACTGCCACAGTTGTGAGCAAGGCTCCCTGTGCACAAGAAACCCGAGCAGGGGACCAAGCAGGCTGCTCTCACAGGCCCTTCTTGCTATGGTTTGATGCCAGGTGGATGCCACTGCTGAATAGCTGGGGGTGGACACAGTGAAAGCTGGACCCCTCCATCTGCTCAGCCTCTGTATTGCCTCAAAAGTTTGGACTGATACCAGACCATGGTTTAAAAACTACCGAGTGACACAGTGAAAACCCAGGTCCATCTGCCTGCTCGTCAGGTTGTTTGGGAAAGAGCTAAAAGCCCAGCCAGTGCCTGCCCTTCCCTAGAGGTGCACCTTGTTCCTCCCAGATACTACATTTCAGTGAGCGGGTCAGACAGGGGCGTGCCTTGGATCACACTCGTCAGTAGGCAGCAGTTTGCCTGTCCCTGTCCCCTGGGTACCAGGAGCTCCTCCAGCCCAGGAGCATGAGCTACGGTCCCTTGATGCACAGTTTGTGTTGTGCTGTCTGAAAAGAGCTCCCTCCCGGTCTCTGAGCTGTGTGAGCACTGCTCCAGCTCTTGTCCCTGGGGATGAAGCATATGCCCTGTCCTCCAGTTTAGTTTGCTCTGCATAAGCTCTGTGTTTCTTCACCAATCTTCACTTCATTCATGTAGGAAACCTGTTCTAGAGCCACCTTCCTCCTGTGTCTTGTTAACGTGGTGAGCAGGGAACCCTGAAACCCTCCAGTGAGAAGCATGTGAAGTAGATAAGTGAGGAGTGCCTTGTGTGGCACTCTGGGAGGAACAGCGGGAAGGGTTTTCCAGCTCCAGAGAGGTGCTTCCTGCCGAACTCTGCCCACCTTCCCCCACCCCAGGGTCTGGCCTCAGGAATGCCCATCAGCTGCCCAGCTGTGGCCCTTAGCTACCTGGCCTTGTTAGAGAAGCAGGAATGAGGTTCCCACTGACCTGTCTGGGGAGTTGGTTTATTTGGAAACTTTAATTGACTTTAATACTAAATTAAGCCCCTTGAAGCAAGTCCTGGCCCATTAGAGATGGGCTTCTCCTTTCCTGGTTTGTTTTTGTCTTTGTTTTTTTGTGTATAGGCCAGCGCTGTACCACTGAGCTACTGCCCCAGCCTTCATCCTGGTACTCTGTGCTCTTCCCTCTCTGATTTGATTTGGAATGATTGTTGGGGTGGGCACTGGAATCAGGACCACTAACACTAGGAACTGCTGGAGTTGTCTGGGGAGATGTGAGGGGAACATAAAAGACTGCTGGGTATTTAGGGTGGGCCTGGAGTGGTGAGGAGTCAGAGATGGCCCAGCTTCCGATTCAGGGCTCTCCCTGGGGAAGGGAATATGGGGCAGACAGGAGGCAATGATAGCAAAAGAGTGGAACTCAGCCTCAGATCGGATGACCCAAGAGGTACCTGCTGGGGATGTGTGATCTCAGGTTTTGGCCTCTCCTCTCAAGGGAGCCCCTAGTAGGACACAATACTTCCAACTCTCAGAAGACTCCTTAATTCCCCTTCTTAGTCTCCCTGCTCTGAGGGTGTGGGTCATCTTGTGACCCTTGTCAGTCAGCTGCCAACAGGTTCCTCCCACCCTCCAGGTGCAAAAAGTGTTTATAACCTTGGGTGTCTATCTTGTGCCCTAGAGCCATTCAGCCAACTTCCTAAGAGCCTCCCAGGGCATGTTTCCTGCCTGTGCAGGGTTGGCCTTCCTTCAGGCAGGTCAGGGCATGAGCCCCGCCCAGAGGGGCCTCTGCAGGTACCAAGCCAGCCCTGAGACCCTGTGCCCGCATGTGCCTTGAAGTAAACTGCGTATGCCATGGTGACATTAGGGATTGAGGGGTGTTTCAACATCAGAAGTCTGCTGATGTGATCCATCACATTAATGTAGATGTCTAGCATGATGAAAGGCCTCCACCAAAGCCTGCTGAACACTTAATGGCACAGATCAAAGCATCACTTGTTTTGATGCAGGGTGTTTGCCCCAACTTCTACCCAACATTACAGGTCTCCTGTGCCACTGTGGTAAGACAAGACATAAGCCTTAAGGACTGCAGTGGAAGAAAATGAAGAGGAAGCCACTCACATTTCAGAGAGAAAATGCTTGATTCTGAGTTAGACCTTGCTGTAAGGGCTCCACCAGGGGCACGTGAGGGCCCTGGACAAACACTGTCTGTGACCAGGAGCCGCATGGAACTTGGCCCCTAACAGTCCTGTGTTGTCTTGTCTTTGTAGCTTATTGGCGGTTTTGGCTCTGCGTTAGTGTGGTTTATGAGCTGTTTCTCATCTTTATCCTCTTCCAGGTAAGTGGCTTTTCCTGATTGATAACCTGTGGGAACAGATAATGGAGGAGGCTTTGCACACTTGCCCTCAGAGTACTGACAGGAAGCCAGGCTGGACCAGCAAAATGGGCATAGACTGCACTTTATCTCCAGAAGGACCAGTGTATGGGAAGTTGTTCTGAGCAACTGTCATGTCCAGATCCAAACAGGGCTAGATGTGGGAGGAGACAACTCATCCCATTTTGAGATAGGGTGTGTCCAAGGACTAGTGGTCTGTGTGGGGCATAGTTGCTGGATGTGTATCTCTGGCCTGAGGCCAACCAGCTCCAGCTTCAGGAGCTTTCTCCTGCCTAGCACCCATCCTGCAAAAGACTGGCAGGGGTAGAAGCCCAATCTTGGGCCAGGAGTGTTGCACAATGTCTGTTTCTCCAACCCTGCTTCACTAGCAAACACATGTTTTGGTGGTGATCTTCAGTTTACAGAGCATTTTCTACTTGTGAACTCAGACTCCATCAATCGTGGCCAGGTTATTTATTCCTTGTCTGGGGCAGATGTACAGTGGTATGGAGCTTTAGCACATGTACCGTGAGCCCACCACCACAGTAAGACACAGAACAGTTCCTCTTTCAGAAATGAAGGGGGCGCCATTTCTCATGCTCCCTCCCTTGCTGGAGCGAGCTTTCTCCCTCACTCCTTGGTTATTATTGAACTTACCTGGGCTTAACTGGGGGCAACTGGAGATTTTAGAAAAGACACAGGACAGACAGATTTGGGGTTAGGTGTGTTGTATGCTTGGCTGGAGACGCACATTGCTTTTTTTCTGTCTTGATTCTTCAAGGCTGTACTCCTTGCAGTTCTTTAAAACCTCTTTCCTTAGGCTTACACTGCCCCATGTTTGCTTATCTTTAGCTTAACTGCTCTTAAAGTCTTTTGCCCCCAGACTTGCACTGTCCTATCTCTCTTTAGCCCTCTCAAAGCCTCGGTGCTCAAACTTGCAAACCAGCAGTCTTGCCTACAATCTACATATACATAACTTAAGGTCTCAGTCCTTAGTCTTGGACTGTGCACGGTCCCGTGTTCTCTTTGGCTTTAGATTTCCTAAGGCCTGTGTATGAAGTTCTTTCTCCGCTTTGCTTTCTGAAGCCTATGTTAAAACTCTCAGTGTAGACTTTCTATCAACCCCTCTTTAGCATTTTCCCTTTTCCCTTCCAAAAGCTTCCCACACCAAAAGGCCCAAAGTAGAAGTATCTTCCCAATAGTCAAAGGCAAAAAAAGCCAAAAGTCAAGCAAGCAGAGTCCAAAAGCCCAAAGTAAAGCCCCAAAAGGCAAAAAGCAAATGCCCCCGCCCTGCTTCAGTGGGCCTTTTATAAACAGCAGCAAAACAGGGTGGATCAGAGGGAGGGGCGTGACATTGTAACAGGAAAAACCTGTGTTCCTGCTTCTCTGAACCTTAGGAGACACAGCTGTTCTGCTTTTTTCTGTTTCGTGCTGGGGCTGTGCCTATCTCAGCCTACAGGTAAAAGCAATTAACTGTGTCTCATCTTGCTTGTGTCCAGTTCTCATAGGCTTTAATCTGCTCCCCACACAGAGAGCTCTGAGTCTCCTTGATATTCTGCTACCCTGCCCTGCCCCCCAGTGACCTGCCCTCTGTTACTGCAGATTGTCTCAGAATGGCCTATGAATAGAGCAGCACAGTGGGCAGAGGGCATCCCTGAGAGCCTACACTAGGTTGTAGAGTGTTGTCAGCACTGCACGCCCCATGGCTGAGAAGTGGTCCACTGTATGGATGCACCACAGCCTGTCCACTCGGGCCTGGAAGGGCATTTGGGGCTTCTGTGAATGGACCTGCTCTGAACAGTCCTGTCCGGGTTTTGTGTGTACTTAAGTTTCCAACTCTTTAGTAGATAAGCAACAGCTGGTGAGCCTTCACTGTTGTGAGGCGAACGTGATAACCACTACACTACGGAAACGCCTTCATTGGTCAGAGGAGCTTCCAAGCTGCCTTCCAATACAGCTGTGCTGTCTTGCATCCTACCAGCACTGACTTAGAGTTCTTGCTGTTTCATACAATTGTTTTTAGTTCTTTTGTGTATGTGCTCAAGAGGTGGGATTGCTGGATCCTGTGAGAGTTACCATCCTAATAGGTGTGAGGTGGTGCCTCACTGTTGTTCTGATTTGATGTGATACAACTACAGCCCAAGGCTTGCTCTGATTTCCTTAGTTGATACTTAATGTCTCTTTCCTGCCCTGGATCCCTTTCACCTGTAATTATCACATCTCAGGCTCCTCTGGACTGTGCAGTCCTCAGACCTCTGTTTCTGGTGAACTGGCAGCTCTGAGGAAGGCTGGTTGGATATCTACTAAGTCAGGTGGCATTTGGAATTGGGAGGTATGAGTCCTTCACTTTGTTCTCTATTGGGATTGTCTTGAGTCACCTGGTCTCCCCCACTTTCAAATGGGTATGAGGATCACTTTTCTGGCTGTGTAAAAGAGTTGATGAGATTTTTTTTTTTTCTGCAGTGCTGGGGATAGAACCCAGGGCCTCCTGCATGCTAGGCAAGCACTCTACTATTGAGCAATATCCCCAACCCTAGCCTATCAAGGAAGATGTTAGATATTGGTAGGAATTGCATTGTGTCATCCTAACATTGTTAAGTCTTTGAACCCATGAATGTGGGATATCCTTCCATTTATTTAGGTCCTTAATTTTTTTCCTAGTATGTTTTGTAGCTTTCAGAATGTAAGTTTTGTACTTTCTTTGTTACATTTATTCCCAAGTATTTTATTTATTGTGATGCAATTGCAAGTGGAATTGTTTTCTCAGTTTCATTTTTGGATTGCCCATTACTAGTAAATACAAGTACAGCTAATTTCCATACCGATTCTGTGTCCTGCAGCCTGGCTGAACTTGCTTGTTAGCTCCAGTGGTTCTTTAGGATTTTCTGTTTTCCAGCTCCTGCCCCCTGCACGCAGAGGTGATTTCATACTTCCTTCCCAGCTTCTCTTGCCTGACTGCCCCAGCTGGACCCTCCATCAGGCATTGTCTTGTTCCTGATCCTAGGAGAGCACCCAGCTTTTCTGCACTGAGCGGAGTGCGTGCTTCTCCCAAAAGCCCCTCACCCGGTGGAGGGAGTTCATTTGTATCCCTGTCTGGTTGAGTACTTTTATCAGGGAATCTTGTCGGATATTGTCAGATGTATTTTATGCATCAGGAAGAAGATTATGTGAGTTTCCCTTCATTGATAAGGAGGTATTACGTTGACTGATAGCTTATTTGGAGCCAACTGTGCGGTCCTGGGATCAATCCCACTTGGTCATGGTACATATGATTTGCTTTTCCAAATCTAGGATTTTTGTATCCAAAACAGATGTTGGTCTATAATTTCCTAGAACTGCTTTTTCTGGTTTTGGTGCCAGGATTAATTAGGATTTGCCTGCTGTTTTTTTGTGCCATGTCTTATAGCCTGGCAACTTCCCTCCTGACCTGCCCTCCACAGGAGCACCATGGGGTTAAGAAGCTTCTGGCCTTTGCCAGGAGTTCATCTGGCCTGTCCAAGCAGGGGCCACGGTTGACTCACAGGTGCCCTGGGGGTAGGTGCCCATGCTGGACCTGGAACTCATCTGTTCAGGCCTTGCCTGAGGCTTTGGAGCCTGAGCTGGAAGGTGGCACTCAGGGCCTCAGCATGTCTGACCTTCAGGTCCTGCTGATTACCAGGGCACTTAGTCTTTGTCAGACCTCCAAAACAGCCCTGGAACAGGTAGCCCTGGTTTTGGGGTGGGGAAACCGTGCTGCAGGACTGGGCTGAGAGTGTCTGTGCCCAGCATCATTGCTTGGATCACAACAGGATGCTGTGACTCTAGTGTCAGCTGCATCTTGTCCACCCCTGCCCCAGGCTGAGCTCATCGGCTGGCCAGCCTCCTCCTATTTCCTTTCCTGTCCATGGCATGGCTGTGTCCTACAGCTGGTCACCTGTGTGTTCTCACTTCTGCCATCCCAGCTCCTGAACCTCTGCTGTGTCATTAGAGCCTGCTCAAGAGGGCTTCTTTCTTTGAAGTGGTCCCAAGAGCACACCTTGCACTAAAGCTGAAGGGAGCTTCTGCTAATATCAGCATCTACATGTCTGATGTCATGTGAAGATGGAGTGGTGCCCTCCAGGGTGGCCTCTGTGGGGCATGTGGCCCTGGACAACGTGGGGTGGGGCAGCAGCCACACCTGTGGGACCAGGGATCTGAAGGTGTGGCATGTGAGGCTACCGTCTGTATCTTGTCACCTCTCATGGCTCAGGACTCATCCAGCCCTTGCTGGGGTGGGAGAGCTACTGTCCTTGTGACCTGCTGACTGAGATGTAGGTCACATACCACAGATCCCCCATCCAGGCTGCCCCCCTAGTCCTGGCCCCACTAATGGCCCTGCCTTACAGACAGTCCAGGACGGCCGGCAATTTCTGAAGTATGTCGACCCCAAGCTGGGAGTCCCGCTGCCAGAGAGGGACTATGGGGGGAACTGCCTCGTCTACGATGCGGACAACAAGACCGACCCCTTCCACAACATCTGGGTAGGGCATCCTTTCCACCCTGGGCCTTCACCAGCTTGAGGGCTGACTTTGACTCGTGGGGTTGGGCATGGTGGCCCTTGGCAGGACCATCTACTCTCCTGCTTTGCTCCTTTGGGGCAGTGTGTGGAGAATGAGGGGCTGTCATCCACACATGGAGTTTCCTTCTCACCCAGGCCTGCAGCCCTACTCAGGGTAGAAGAGGGCTCATTGTAAGGGCACCTTGCTCTCTCCTCAGGATGACTGTCCACAGGCACTCACAGCAGCACGTGTGCAGACCTGGTCTTGTTCAGGTCTGGCAGGTGCTGCTCAGGTGGCAAGCATCTAGGCTGAAAAGGAGCTGACCCCAGCCTCTGTGCAGCATGAGGTCTTGTCCTGTTCTGTCCCAAGAGGCCCCTGTGATATAGCAGAGGACAGGGTCGCTGGGGTGGGGGCTGTGCCTGAGGATCACACCCTGTTGCCCACAGGACAAGCTGGACGGCTTTGTTCCTGCACACTTCATTGGCTGGTATCTGAAGGTATAGCAATCTCCTGGCTGACCCAACACCATGGTTCTCGAACCCACCCTGTGCTCTGAGCCATTTCTGGCCACAAGGTTGATCTGAGTGTGGTGGTGTGGTGGGTGGGTGAGCCCTGGTGACAGAAGAAACACTGTGCCATGCCAGAGGGTTCGCAGATCTGGGAGCTCCCAGGCTCCAGCAGGACTCGAGCAGGAGCTCTGACCCTGCTGCTCAGATCCAAGCTGTCTCCAGCATGGCAAATGACTGTTAGGAAAAGGGAGAGAGATGGATGGCAAGGCAGAAAGCTCCAGGCTCTCATTCTGCACCACTCACAGACTGACACCTGTGCCAGCCCGGTCTGGCACTCTGCAACACACAATCCTGGCCGGCCTGGTGGAGGGACCATTAGAGCTTAGTGCTGGATGTGTAGACACTGCCACGTAGGCTGAAAATGTCAAAATGAAGGTGGAGGAAAGGCTGCCCACATGCCATACTAACCTGGGCCCCACCAGGGAGGGGGAGGTTGCATCACTTGTGGGCAGAGCCCGTGGGGAGCGGGTGCGTGTGGGGTGAGGCCTGACGGGGCTTCCTTCAGACCCTCATGATCCGCGACTGGTGGATGTGCATGATCATCAGCGTCATGTTCGAGTTCCTGGAGTACAGCCTGGAGCACCAGCTGCCCAACTTCAGCGAGTGCTGGTGGGACCACGTAGGTGCTGGCGGTGGGGGCCCAGGCCTGGGTGGGCTTTGTGCCCTGGCCCCCAGAGCCCATTTCATCACCTCTCTTTTGGCTCCTGCCATAGTGGATCATGGATGTGCTCGTCTGCAATGGGCTGGGCATATACTGTGGCATGAAGACCCTCGAGTGGCTGTCCCTGAAGACATACAAGTGGCAGGGCCTCTGGAACATTCCGACCTACAAGTACGTCTTGGGAGATGAGGAGCAGGCTGGGGGCCAGGGCCCTGAGTACTATGCCCATCCTCACTGCTCAGGAGGGGTGGTGAGTGGTGGTCCTTGCCCCAGGACCCTCCACTGCTGCCCAGGCTGCACTGTACCTCATTGTGGCTGGAAAGCCTCCCCTGCTGCAGAGGCTCTGGAGTTTCCCCCAGCCCCCTAGCCCCCCTGCTGCTGTTGCCATGAGGCAATTGCTCATGCTATCATTTTTACTTTGGGGTTTAAGAAAAGAAAGAACGTGGTCTGGGGGTGTAGCTCAGTGGTAGAGCGCTTGCCTAGCATGCACAAGGCCCTGGGTTCCCTCCCAGCACTGCCAAATAAAAAATAAAGAAGGGGACGGAGGGAGGAAGAAAGAAAGAATGCCAGGAACAGTAGTATTTGACCTGTGGTCCCAGCTACTGATCACTTAAGCCCAGGAATTCAAGGCCAACCCGGGCCTTGCAAAGACGTGGAGGTGGGTCCTCCGCTCCTGTCTGGGTGCCTCCGCCAGCCTGGCTGATGGCAGGTGGGATGGGATGGGATAGGCTGTTCTCCTCAGGCCAGTGACTTGTTTCCCAGGGGCAAAATGAAGAGGATTGCCTTCCAGTTCACGCCCTACAGCTGGGTCCGCTTTGAGTGGAAGCCTGCCTCCAGTCTGCACCGTTGGCTGGCAGTGTGTGGCATCATTTTGGTGGTAAGGCCAGCGGCCCCGCCATGGACAGCCCAGGGTGCTGCACCCTGCTGACCTCCTGCCCCCAGTTCTTGCTGGCTGCCTCGTGATGCATGCAGCCTGGGTCCTACACCACTGACCCTCTCCTGTCCCCTAGTTCTTGCTGGCAGAGCTGAACACATTCTACTTGAAGTTTGTGCTGTGGATGCCCCCTGAGCACTATCTGGTCCTGCTGCGCCTGGTCTTCTTTGTGAATGTGGGCGGAGTGGCCATGCGTGAGATCTACGACTTCATGGATGACCTGTGAGGGCTGCATGTCAGGCCTAGGGTGGCAGGCCAGAGCCTGGGACCCCCAAGGGCCTGGGGGATGCTGGGCGAGCTTGGCAGCTGCTGCCTCTCCACAGGAAGCCCCACAGGAAGCTGGGACAGCAGGCTTGGCTGGTGGCGGCCATCACGGTCACCGAGCTGCTTATTGTGGTGAAGTACGACCCGCACACACTTACCCTGTCCCTCCCCTTCTACATCTCCCAGTGCTGGACCCTCGGCTCTGTCCTGGTGCTCACCTGGACTGTTTGGCGCTTCTTTCTACGGTGAGTAGAGGCAGGCCTCCCGGGCTACTGACTCCCCAGCTTGGGCAGCTGTGGGGGTGGGTGGGCTTAATTGGTGTTTGGCTTCCCAGTGGTGTCTGTCCCCTCTCCTGCTGAGGGTTGGGCAAGACTCTGTTCCTGACTCTGCCATGTCCCTCCAGCCACCTGTGTGGGGCAGCTGCCTCAGCCCTTCCATCCCCCAGAGTCTTCCTTCCTGAGGCCCATGATGGCTTGCCCTGCCCTGCCTGTGGCTGGCACCCCAGCTCAGCCCCGCCCCCACCACATCAACTCCTTGAATCTCATTTATCCCCATTTATCCCCCTGTGGGACAAAGGTGTCAGGTGTCCATGGGGGCTGGTGCAGGGGTGGGTGCTCATACAGTTTCTGCTGCCCCCTAGAGACATCACCTTGAGGTACAAGGAAACCCGGCGGCAGAAGCAGCAGAGTGACCAGGGCAGAGCTGTCAGCAATGGGGATGGGCTCCCAGGCCCAGATGATGACCTGCTGGGGTCCAGTGCTGTGGAAAAGGAGGGGGCCTTGACCTCCTCGTGAACCCTCTCCCCCAGTCAGGCCTTGCCTCTTCCCCCAGGGCTGTTCCCTTTTCTTCTGTGCTCAGTAGAGGGCAGCCCAAGAGGAGGGGAAGGAGGCCCCAACCCCGTCCATATCCATGTGTACGAGTGTGTGTGTGCTTGCAGGTGAGTGTTTGCACATGTGTGTCAGAGTGTGCTTGGCTCCTGAGGCATCTCCAGGACTGTGAGCTGGTCAGCATGGCTGTGGCTCTTTAGAGCAAGGGTATAGCCTGAGTGCAGCCCAGGAGAGGCATCTCGGTGCCTTTTTCCACTCCCTTTGGGATGGGCAGAGGCCCCAGAAGACCTGCTGCCCTCACTCACCTCTGAGCAGCACAAGTGAAGGACATCGTCTACCAACACCAAGGTGGTTGATGAGAAGCAGCAGCCTTTGTTTAACGCAGACTGTAACCTAGAGGATGTGTAGACAGGGTTGGAGGTCACCAGACTGGCCCCTTGAGGCACATTGAGTCAGAGACTCCAAAACCCAAGGTCCTGTACCCCGACTGCTGAAGTCTTATTTCTGTGACTCCTAAGTTTAGGGTCATCTCCTCGAGCAAACAGAACAAATAAAGTGACCATGAAGGTGCACAGCCTCCAGCCTTGCTTCCTGCCCCCATCTGCTGTCCCATGCTTCCAGGGATTTCATGGAAGAAAGGCGGCGGCTCGAGGTCCCTATCACATCCCATCAGAGCAGGGGGTTCCAGTGGGCACAGCTGCTCACAGGACACATGTTCTGGGTGCCAGTCACCTGGGCTTTCCACAACCACACACTGCCTGCCACATGGTCTCTTACTGGGACATAAAGCCAGTTTCCACTGGGGAGTGGGAGTAGAGATGGAGCAGGATTCCTGGGAAGGAGCGACTATCTTCTTAGGCTGGTATCTTTTAAAACTTTAATAAATGTTTCTGTTACCTGGGAGGCACAAGCCTGCAAGCCCAGCACTCGGGAGGCTGAGGCAGGAAGATTGCAAGTTCATGGCCATTCTGGGCTACGTAATGTGGGTTGCATAGTGGCACCCTGTCTCAGGTGGGGAAAAAGTTTGGGGGACTGTAATCCCAGCCACTTGGAAGGCTGATATTGGGAGAATTACGGTGTTAGGCCAATTCAGGCAAAAAGTTGGTGAGACTTCATCTCAACAAACAAGCTGAGCATGGGGCTTTGTCTATAATCCCAGTTACTCAGATGGCATAGGGTAAGAGTATCAAAGTTGGAGGCCTGGCTCCAGTCAAAAACGTGAAACCCTATCGAAAAATACCTAATGTGGAAAAGGGCTGGGAGGTGTGGCTCGTGCTAGAGCACCTGCTTAGCACGTATGAGGACCCTGAGGCTCCCAGTACCACCCAAAGTTTCTGGTTTTGTTTTTGCATTCCTGGGAATAGAATCAAGAGCCTCTCATGTCCTAGGCAAGCGCTCTGCCAATGAACGTGACTCAACACACCATGGACGTTTCTAGCACAATTGAGAGCTGTACAATGATCTGAGCCCCCGACCTGGACACAAGTGAAACCCTGCTCCTATGGAGGTAGGTTGGACACAGACCTACCTCGGGTAGGGCTGGGACCCCATGGGCCAGAGCTCAAAGACACAAAACTTTTGTTTCTTTACTTTTTTAAAATTGTTCTGGGGAAATTTTCACCCCTTCAGAAGTTGTGGGGCTGGAACATGGAGCACACATTAGACCTCTACCCTAGACGCCTACTCAGGGCAAACCCTTCTCAAGTGGCCCTGCTCCAGCAGCACATTCTTGGGTGATCAGCATGGTTCCTCAGTAAATGTTGCTGCCTATCCTCCTCCTGCAGGGACCCAGGAAGGCCGCCTGGGGAGTCCCACCCACATGTGCCTCCTTCCAATGCCCCCACCCTAGATTTGGTCAGTGGGTGCCCATCAGTGACTCCTCAGCTCTGGACACCCTGCTGCCCCCAGCTCTTTGTTGCTGATGCTCTGCTGGTGCATTGCCCCAGAACTTTACCCATTTCTCCAAGGCGTCCTGGTCCTCTAGGAGGGAAGACAGAATCATCCTGGGGCACTTTAAAGGGCCTGACAGTAACACCCAGAGTAGGTGACCCCTGGGTGGCCCACCAGGCCAATTGGACTTGAGGGTGTCTTCACACCCTCCTTTACTCCTTTCCAGAGGCAGCAGAGAGAACTGGCCTGGGGTACCCAGTTCTGGACAGGGCTTCTGGGGACAGTTTGGAGCCTTCAGTTCCAAGGCCTGAAGCTGCAGGAATGCCAGGCTTGGGGGCAGCTCCCTGTGGGAGCCTCCGAAGGGCAGGTGTGGGCCACAGTCCTGACGCTATAATCACAAATGTTGAAGTCCCAGTAATACAGGTTCCAGAAAAAAAATTGTATCAAAAGATTCTTCAAGGGCTGAAGGTGTGGCTGAAAAAGTAAGAAAGAGTGCCAGCCAGGCACCAGTGGTTCACGCTTGGAATCCTAGCTACTCAGAAGGCAGAGATCAGGAGGATCAGTTTGAAGCCATTTCTCCAGGCAAATAATTCCAGAGGTCCTATCTCAAAAATACCCAACACTACAAAGGACTGGCAGAGTGGCTTACTGCCTTCCTAGCAAGCCTAAGGCCCTGAGTTCAAACCAGTGCCACCAAAAAAAAAAAAAAAAGTAGAGTGCCTGATTTACAAGTACAAAGCCCTAAGTTCAAGCCCCAGGGATTTATTTGAAAAACAGTAGCCAATGTAGCACCTCCAGCCAATAATGGTGAGCAGTTTTTGAAGGCATAAACACTCAAGTACACTAACAGTACCGTGGGTGTAACAGTTGTAAGCAAACTACTCACCAAAAAGTGCAGTGTGGCCGGCGCTGTGGCCCACACCTGTAATCTTAACAACTTGCCAGGCTGAGATTGGAAGGATCGAGGTTTGAGGCCAGTTTGGGCAAATGTTTACAAGACCCCATCATCTTCAAGATAACCAGAGTAAAATGGACTGGAGGTGTGGCTCAAGTGGTAGAGTTCCTGCTTTGCAAGGGCAAAGCCCTGAATTCAAACCCCACTTCCACCATAAAAAAAGAGGCAGTGAGCGAGCTGATGACACCACTGTGGTCGGTCATCGTGTGTGCTCCCAGTTTTGCAGCTGCAGTCATCTCAAATGAAACAATGACCACCCAAGTCTTCTGGTGAGCTCAGTTGACCCAAAAAGTGACATCTTGGGAAATTTCTCTTTCAAGTGCAGGTGGATACACTCAGGGTGCTTACAAAGTCAGCATTGTGATGATGCATTTTTGTGGAGTCAAGCTGGAGTGCACTAAAGGAATTAGAGCCCTGAAGTTACACACCTTCTACGGCCAGGGTTGGAATGATGAAATGCACAGCTCAGGGAGTTCTCTTTTTTTTAACGGGAGAGTGTGAACACAAATTATGCAGTCGAATTTCCTGCATTTGGGGAAATCGCAGGGGTCAGAACATCTGGAGTGCAATGGATAAGCTTGCCCTAGGAAAACCACCTTCTTGATCATGGTATCTCCCCTGCCAGGCAAGTATGCACAGGGAGTTTTGAACAATGCTGACAACATGGAGACGAAAGAAAGCCCAGCCTAGCCCAGGAGAGTGGTCGTGTGGACTTGTGAGCAGTTGAGGGAGGTCCAAAATTGGCTTTTTCTTTTTCTCCCAGTACTGGGGTTTGAACTCAGGGCCTTGTGCTGGTTAGGCAGGCACTCTACCACTTGAGCCATGCCCCCAGCCCCACACAACAATCTAAATACAACTCTTAACTCGGGACTGAGACCTCTGCATCAACTGAGAGAGCGTGGGAATTTTTGCTTGCAATTTATTTTCTTTGACCGAACTTGGTCAAAGCCACGTGTAACAAATCTGCAGCAGGCTTACTGTATACACCAATGTGCACTGCCTGTTAGAACTCCCCGTCCTCTGAGCTGTGCTCGTGTCTTTCCGGGTACATGTAAATCTGTCCCACAAACTCATCCACAGACCCCGGGTTAGGCAGAAACCATACTAGTGATGGAGCAGCCGCACCACTCACTGCTCAGATGCCCCTAATTAACCTCGCCAGCTTCTTCAGGCAAACGTGGCTTTCATTAGCTGGAAGGATTGCCACTGCAGACACTGTAGGTTTTAAAAATTCTGTTGACAAACTACGTATTTATGAGGTGCCTGTGATGTCCTGATGCATGTTCACAGAATGTCTAAGGGTGTCTCCTCACATTTTGTCATTTCTGTGTGGCAAAACAGTCACAAACCTTTACATTTTTTTTTTTGAAATGTACATTTTCATTACCTATAGTCACCCTACTGTGCACACCAGAACTTACTTCTCTTGTCTTAACTGTATAACTTACCCGCAGCCTCCACCATTAAGACCCGTCTTGACAGAGCCTGGTCTCCTGGGATCACCTGTGGGGTGCGTGGCCGCCTGCAGCATGTGGATGATGAATGCCCCATTCTAAGCTTCAAAGCCGATACACTTCACTGAGCAAGAGGGCGGTCACACAGCACTGCAGGCCTATACCAGAGCCACTAGGGACCCACAAGGAAGGACAAGGACTCCTGCTGCCAACGATGTGCTTTAATGATTATAAAGTATCTAAAACTGTCTTGCAGGAGTAAGTTGATTACAGCATTTATCTCCAGGCAAAAGCCAGGACACTGGAGCCAGAGCCCAAGGGGGCGGGTTGCCCCAGTGTGGATGAGGGCTATGAACAGGAAGGAGCATGGGTGCAGGGGCCAATCAGGAGATGATTCTCAGGGATGGCTTGTCGTCCTCCAGGGCCTGCAGCTGGTCATCCATCTTCTGGGTCCAGTAAATGTCATACAGGCTGCACAAAAGCAGGAAGGAGTGAGCTGAAGTGTCCACACCCGCCCACTCCCACCATCCTCCCTGATCCACCTGAGGCCACACTTGTGGCCAGCTGCCCACAGGTCCACTTACACCAGCTGCTCAAGGAGGCAATCGGGCTGCCTGAGGCTTTCTATCAGCTGCTGGATTCCGGGGTCTCCCAGAGGGTTGTTGCTGAGGTCCAGTTCCCGCAGGCTGCGGCTGGCCAGCAGGGCTGCAGCAACGCTGCTACAGCCACTGTTTCTCAGTTCACAGTCCCCCAGGCTGGATAGGGAGTAAGCAGAGGTCAGGACAAGGGCGTGCCTGGTGCTGCCACTAACCAGCTGACACCTGGGCACTGTGAGATGGAGATGGAGGCTCACACCCATGACGCCCAGACCTTGAAATCCCCCTGGAGGTAGGGCCCCAGGTGAGGGCTGTTCCCCAAGTCCAGCCTTGGCAGCGTGTCTCACTATCCGTCCATGGCCACCGACAGCCCAACAAAGAAATGGAAGGTGCACACAGCTGGGCATGGGGGATACAAGACCCCAGCTTTCTCCTGGCAAAATCAGGACATCCCTCTGCAGGGTACACCAGGAGGGAGGTGCAACCCTGAGGCACTGTCCACCCAGAGGGCACTGCTTTCTCAGCATGGAGAGCCCAGCTGGACCAGAGAAGAAGCACAGGGGAGACAGGGGAGGATGTCAGGGTAAACAGAGGGTTCCAGACTCTAGAGGAAGATGGGTGCGGGCCAAAGGAAGGAGGATGAGGTAGGACTGGCCTAGCACCCACTCCCATAAGGGGAGGCCCAAGGAAGCCAGGGGTCTGGTGCAGGTCGAGCACAGCCTGACAGGCCAGATGATGCCAAATAGCTGCTCAGGCTCACCTCTCCAAAGTGGGCTGGGAAAGCTGCAGGACCCTGCCTTGGAGTCTACTGGAGTCTTCATGACCCCAGCTTCTTTCCCACCAGGCTCTCTGGCTGCCAGGACAGGGTCCCCTGAGCAGGAGACTGGGCTACCAGGACCACCCAGGTCAACTGGTGTCCAGCTGAGGATGGCCAGCAGCCAAGGAAAGCCATCCACCCGAGGCAGAGATGGAAACAAATAGCAAAACCCTGAACATCTGAGATCAGACACAAAAGGCTCAGTAGACTTGTTAGAAAATGAGAAGTCTCATGGTGGCCAGGCCTGTAATTCCAGCTACTTGGAGAGGAGGGAGGAGGGTAAGTTTGAAGTTAGCCAGGGCAAAGTTAGCTGAGACCCTATCTCAAAAACAGAAAGGGCTGGGGTGTGGTCGAGTGTTAGAGCACTTTCAAGTGCAAGGCCCTGTAAGCAGGAAGGAAGGGAGGGAGGAAGGAGACAAAGAAAGAAAAGAAAAACAAATCTCTAGAAGTAAGAACCAAACCTTCAAGATAAAGAAAATAAGGGTTACAGGAAATTGAAGATCCAGCCCTTGAGACCCAAAGGCCGACTGCTGGGCACCCAGAGAGCAAGAAAAAGGAGAGAGGAAAGATCACAGGAGCACAGTACTTCTTAGGACCAAAAACCACACAAGGCAAAGCTCACGGAGGGAGCCCCAGGACACAGTGGACAGACCTTCAAAAGATGCTGAAGAGAAAAAGGCAGATCTGCATGACATCAGGGACACAGGGACAGCAGAGTCCTCCCTTGAAGCCAGGAGGAACGTGTGGCCCATAGTTCTACACCTGGCCAAGTGACAGGGGCCAAGCAGGACACACAGGCCTCCAGAAAACACCTTCTACAGAACCCATTCTTGAGAAGCACCGGAATGCGTTAACAAAATGAAAGAGACTGGCAAGACACCCACTAGGGTCTCCTGCACAGGAAGAAGGTGGACGGAGCTTCCAGGACACCAGGTAGCCATTGGGCCTCTGGGTAGTGAGGGCCTCTGATCAAACTGGTGTGAGAACTAGGCCAGTGTGGAGCTGCAGCTGCCTCCCCCAGCACGTGTGTGCAAGCGCACTCACCAGAGCACACGCAGCACACAGCCCGGGTGGCCCAGGCCCTGGCAGAGCTCCTGCACACCCGCATCACCCAGATTATTGTTGCTCATCTGCAACTCCAGGAGAGACTGGCTCTGGGTCAACACTGAGCGGAAGTGGGAGCAGCAGGCGGCCGTGAAGCTGCAGGTCTTCACCCTGTGGGACGGACAGGTTGTAGCCCACGACCGCAACTGTCCCTTCCCCTGAGGATCCCATGTGGACTGGGCAGAAACATCAAGTACCTTCTGTCTTCTGGACAGCTCACCTTCCCCCCTTCTCCCCCATCCCCTCATCTATGTACCTGCACCTTGGCCCCGTGCTGTCCCCATTAGACTACCCCCTCCCTAGGTCCACTGGCATCTCCCTAGTCCTCTCAGCCCCCTGGACCTTCTTTCTGCCTAGGCACCACTCTGTCCTAGGAAGGCCTTGGCCTCTAACCCAGCAGCCCCCTCACCACAGTGACTCCAGCTGGCAGCCAGGTTCCAGCAGGCTCTCACACAGCAGCTGGGCACCCTCATCCTCCAGCTCGTTGCCAGCCAGGCTGAGGGCCTTCAGACTCTGCTTGGCCCTGAGGACACGGCACAGCTCCCTGCAGCCCTCCGTGGTGATGTCACACTCCCAAAGCCTGTAGGACATTGACATATTCCCTGAGGACGTCCCTCACCCACCGCCACCTAGCCTCAGGACCAGGAGAGAATCACAGCTACCCATGGCACCCTCTGTGCTCTCAGGAAGCTGGGAGCCAACTCACCACAGGGTCCTGAGCCCACAGCTGGGGTGCAGCAGCCCTGGACACAGCACTGTGATACCCGCATTACCCAGCTTGTTGCCTCCCAGATCCAACTCCTGCAGCGAGGGCTTGGAAGTCACAAAGTCACACAAATCCTTGCAGTTGGCCGATGTGGCGCCGCAGTTCTCTAGCCTGGAAACACAGGACGTGCCTGGAGGGAGTGCTGGGGCCCTGCCCTGCCCAGTGGCTCCCATGGCCCCTGTGGCCCAGGACATACCTAAGAATCTCCAGCTGGCAGGCAGAGTCCTTTAGGCCCTGACATAGCACATGGACACCATCCTCATTCAGGTCATTGTTGCTCACCGCCAGCTCCTTGAAGTCTGATTTGGCCCTGAGCACTGAGGCCAGGGGCTCACAGCTGGCGGCTGTGAGGTTGCAGTACTCTAGCCTACAGGAACCAAAGTGTCTCATTTCCCATCACCTCCTGAGACTGTCCTCATGGCTACTGGTCAGGAACAGTGGGTGCCCAGAGCCTCCAGGCCATGCAGACACCAGCCTTTCTTCAGGAATCCCTCACTACCCAAGAGACACACCTCAAACTCCAGGGTTCTCCCAGACTCAGCAGAAAGAAACCCACAATGGGGCCATCTGTGGTCACACTCGGTACCTCCCACACTGGGATGCTGAATCACACCAGACACCTCAAGCATCTGTTCCCACTGTCGGGCTAGGTCAGCTGACAGGGAGTCTCCAGCATCCCAGAGGGCCACCATGAGGTCCATGGGACCCCCAGAATTCCCTCCTCATCCCTCCTCCCTGGAGCCATCTTCCTGGTAAGGTGGGGTTTGCTGAGGATGTGTAACCCAGAGATTGGGATGCGCCTATCTGAGCACAAGGACAGGGCAGCAGGGAGCTCAGGGTCCCCAAACAGAGCACACACTCACTGCAGCTTCTCAAGGTGGCACTGGGGATCCAGGAGCCCTTCACAGAGCAGCCGCAGCCCTGCATCCTTCAGGGAGTTGAAATTAAGGTCCAGCTCACGCAGGGTGAGCAGGGAGCTCAGCATGCCAGGCAGGACCTCACAGCCAGCCTCCGTCAGACAGCAGTTCTGGAGACTGAACACATACCGTCAGCAGCTCCCCAAGTAGATGCAGCCCCTGTGCCTGCCAGAGCCAAAGCAGCACCTCTGGGGGTGGGGTACCTGCTTCTTCCCCAGATGGCTCCCGTGTCTCCAGACCACCCAGGCAGCTCAGCCAGACCCTTACTCAGGCTGAGGCCAGGGATGAGGCCAGAGTTTGTCCTGTCCTTATGATGGTGGCCACCTGCCTGTGTGTCTCTGGCTGGAGTCAGGAGGGAAGATCTGCCAACCTGCAGCCTATGAACCCCTGGGCAGCTCTCTATACTCCCACTGCTCGGCTGCCTACCACAAATTCTGGCCCAAGAAGGCCAGGCCAGGGCCCTGGCCTTACCTCAGCTTCTGGATCTTACAGGTGGAGCTCTGCAGGCCCTGCAGCACGAGGTGCACACCAGCATCACCCAGCTCATTGGTACGCAGGCTAAGCTCTGTCAAGGCGGAATTGGTCTTCAGTGCAGAGCTGATGTCCTTGCACCGCACCATAGTAAGGCCACAGTCGTCCAGCCTGCAGATGAGACTCTTAGGTCACCATGGGGGTGGCACTAGGTTCAAGCCCACCAACCACCTCACACAGCAAGCTGTGACCCATCAATGGGCCAACAATTCAGAGTGGGTCATAACCAGGATGTTTAAAAATGAGACAGAACTGGGCACAGTGGCGCACTCCTGTCAAACTAGATCTTGGGATGCTAAAATCAAGATGACAGCGGTTTGAGACCAGCCAGGCAAAAGGTTAGCGAGACCCCATCTCAACCAATAGCTGAGTGTGGTGGCATGCACCTGTCATCCAAACTACATGGGAAGCATAAAATAGGAGGACACAGTTCAGGATGGCCTGAGCAAAAAGCGAGACCCTAGCTCCAAAATGACCAGAGCAAAAAGGACTGAAGATGTGGCTCAAGCAATAGAGTTCCTGCCTCAAAAGCACAAGGCCCTGAATTCAAACCCCCATACAGGGGGGATTAATGGAGGATTGGGAGGAAAAAAGGAGGCAGCTTAGTGGTAGAGCACTTGCTTAGAATGCACAAGGCCATGGGTTCCATCCCCAGCAGTGGAAGAAAAAAAAATATGAGCAGGCGCTCTTGATCTGTTTCTAGGGAAAAGTCAAATCTGTGTGAGGTAATGGCCATGAAGTGCTCAGGGAATGACAGGCAGGTGAAAGTTCACAGGAGCTGACTGAGGGGTTCCCAGTGGTCAGAGCTGCACCCTGCGCACAAGATGAACAACACTAGTTGTAACTGAATAATATAAATACCCTCACATCCATCTCAACTAAATGCCTATTGAGTACAAATAGGTGGGAGGAATGCCAGCTCTTTACAGAAAAATGACAACTGAGAGCGAGGCACTGGTGGATCACGCCTGTAATCCTCACCACTCAGGAGGCAGAAATCAGGAGGATTGAGGTTTGAAACCAGTCCAGGAAGTAGTTCGTGAGACCCTATCTCAAAAGGCCAAGTATAGAAGCTCAAGATGTAGGCCCTGAGTTCAAACGCCAATAACACACACAAAAAAAGAATGACAACTGATAAATGTGGAAGGAGGGAGGAAATGGTAAAATGCACCTGTGTAACCAGGTAAGAGCCATCAGCAGAAGCTGAAACCAGGAGCAGAGATCTGAGCAGAGACAGGTTTGAGCAGTCTCAGCTTCACTATAGACCCTGGTCAACTGCAAAGGGGAAACAGCCAGGAGAAAAGCCCAGCAGACACATGGTACCACTGCGCATGTGGGGCACAATGCACCAGGCAGGACCCACAGCCCCTCCGTACTCGCCAAAACTGAGTGAGCACTGTGAGAAGACCTCAGACAAACCCAGAGAGACATGTGGAGGATGTCCACACTCAGAAATCAGGCCACCAGGACAAAGGAACAGAGCGACCCTACAGGTGAACTAAGGAAAGAACTAAATGCCACAGGGTATAACTGGGTGACTTGACTGGGAAAAGGATGCAAGGGCAAAGCTGGTGACTCGGATGTCTGTGGCTGGAAGTGGTGGATAGCATGAGATCTTCCTGTGATGTTGCCGGGGAAAGCTGGTGGGGACTGGGGACGCCTGTACAACCCTCAGAACTATAGAAAGTCTGGATCCATCTCAGACAATAGTTATAGAGGGAACAGTAAAGACCATGCAGGCACCTGTCTCAAGCTTGCAAATGTGAGGCACTGTGGCTTTGTGAGCCTAGAGAACAAAGCTAGTCCTGACTCCCTTTCACAGTCTAGAGCTGGGCAGGATAAGCAGCACCACTGAGGAAGTCATCAAGGAACCCGAGCCTTGTCCTGCTTTGTCTCCAGAGGAGGGACAGAAGCTGGAAGACCAGGGGCAAAGTGGCCTGTGCAGCAGTAAGAGGTGCCACTGCCTTCAGCCTCCACACCAAACTGCCCCCTGCCTGAGCCTGCAGCAGTACACACACACACAGAGGCACATGTTTTGTTTTGTTTTGTTTGGGTTACTGGGAGGGAACCCAGGGCCTTGAGCATGCTAGGCAAGCGCTCTACCACTCAGCTGAACAACATCCCCCAAAACTTTTTTATTTATTTTTATTACTGTTATTTTGGCTTTTGGTTGTGGTGGTGCTGGAGTTTGAACTCAGGGCCTTGTGCTTGCTAGGTAGGCACTCCATTACTTGACCCAGGCCTCCAGCCTTAATTTACTTTTTTTGAGAGTCTTGCTATACAGCCCACACTATCTTTGAACTCATGATCCTTCAGCACCAAGAAGCTGGGATTACAGCTATGTGTCACCATGCCTGGTTAGTTTTACTCTTAAATGGATGAAAAACCCACGAGAATAACATATCACGCCATGAGAAAATTATACAAAATACCATGTCCACGAATAATGTGCTTCCAGACTCCATCGAGCCCCTGTGCACTCAGTGCTAAGCAGGAACCATCCCTGCCACAACGGAAGCTTGGCCCTCCCAGCCTGCCCCACCCCTATGAGGCCCAAGGGCACCAGTACCTGACCACCTGGTACTGCTGGATCAGGGGGAGGAGCTCGGTCCACCTGGCATCACTCAGCTGCTCACACTGGATGCTGAGATTCATGGCACCACACAGTGTTGTCTGAGCAGAAGGCACAAAGAAGAGACCTTTTAGCAAATTCTCATGGTTTGGAAAGACAGAAAATCTGAATGAAAGTGACATCTCCCTGACAAGTGCCTCCATACACTCAGCCTCCAGGAACAGACCCAGAAGCAGGGAAAGGCTATGCCCACTGGCACCCCAGGCAAAGGCCACCACAGGCAGCAGTTTGGAGGTCATAGCTGTGGGACACAGATGCCAGCCTCACCTCCCATTAGGCAGGTGTCCATTAGAACACCTTCTGCCTGAGAGTACAGGAATAGCAAGTGTGGCCTGGGAAGCCCCTGCCTCGAATTTGCCTGAGCAGGGATGGGAGGGGAGGAGACTGTGGCCTGGAGACCCCAGCAGAAGAGCACGAGCCAGCTATGAAAACTTTTCCTGTCCACTCAGCCTGCGTCCTGCTCTGAGAACCGGCGAGGCTGGGAGGCACCACAGCCCACACTGGCAAGCCATCAACAAAGCTAGAGGCTACCCCAGGAAGCCAGGATCCTGGACCCAAGCAGCCCACAGGCAGCTCTAGCCAACCAGTCCTGAAAGATGAGGGACACAGTATCCTGGGCAGGGCGAGGCAGGGGTATGGGACAGCAGACACAGTGGTGCATTCATGGACATTCACTCAGGTCACCAGCTTCCATGACCTCCTCTGGGGCTGGGGACTCTAGACCCAGAATACATCCTCTGCCCAGTCCTGGGCCACCTCAGACCCAGCCCACAGAGAAGTCAGGCTGTCCACCAGGCTGGGAAAAATGAGGCCTGCATCCAGCCAGGCGGGGGCAAGAGAAGGTCACGGCCCTGAACACCGCACAGGCACAGACACAGCCTGAATAAACAAGGTAGGCAATGACTGTGAATGAATGTCCCTAATGCCCTGAGACCTGGGCACAGCACCCATCTGCCTGGGAGTCAGCCACCCATGTCCCCACCCATTCCCTGAGCTCCACCAAGCCGGTCAGCTAGAACAGCATATGAGCAATCTGGAGAGTTCCCTGGAAGAAGTGACCCATGCTGTGCTGATAGCACTGAGGTGGGGGAAGCTAGGTTCTTCTGTCAGGAGCAACAGAAAGTCGCGGCAGGCTCACGCCAGAGCTGCTGTTTACAGAAGTCATGACAACAGATGGTACAACCCGGGGTTAGCTTCCTGAAAATGCCCTCACTGTGCTGTTTATACTCAAGCCTGGTGGCCTGGCCTTGTTGAAGGGGGGCCTTCCGGTACTGGCTGAGGGCCCAAGCAAAGAGGACCCAGCTGGGCAGGAGGGAGGAAGCCCCTGAAGCCAACATGGAGGGAAGATTCACTTTACACATCTTGGCACACAGCCCTGCAGCAGGGGAAGCTGAAGCAAGGACATGGATAACTTATGGTCACACAGTCATCACATGGAGGAACTTAGAACCAATTCCACCCCTGCCAGAGCACATGAGCAAAACCAGTCCTCCCCCGGACCCAGGGTGTGTCACCCAAAAGCCAGTCAAGGCCTGAGGCACTGGGAAGGGCTACCTCAGGACCTCTAGTTCCAGCCACAGGGTCTCCCCAACCTAGGCAGACAGTTCTGAACTCTTCTGTACCCCAAACTAGGAGACCCCATGATGTCTTCCTCCTGGGAAGGTACAGAGACGAGGCTCTGGGTCAGCCAGCTCTCCTGCTGGCCCACAGAGATAGGGAAATGATGTGGTAGCTGAGCTCCACATGAGGGCTTAGTCAACTCCCCAGGCCCCAAGGCCCCCAGGCCCCTATCCCCTTGGCTGGGCCTTGGGACCAAGAGTTCACCCCTTATCCTCTGTGGGTACTGATCCTTTGAAAACCTGTAATGACCCCTGACATACAACCATGTGGCCAAACCAACCTTCTCTATGACTCCAGAAGGTCCACAAGCCCTCAGAGGGAACAATCCAGGCCCCCCAAGACTGGAAATCAGAACCCCAAAAGCCAGACTGCTCCCCAATACATCTGAGCTCAGTCAGTCCAGGCAGGGCCTAGCTGGACTTTGTTAAGTGTGAAAACAGGCTGCGGGCCACCTTAGGAGGGCGACCTGAGACCAGCCCTCCAGCAATGGCTTCCGGCCTTGTGGTCCCAGTCCTGCAGTATGGCCTCTAGGACACCGTCCTGCAGGGGCATGAGGAAGCCAGGGGCATCCCACCGCCACCCCGCCCTGCTCCCTCCTTGATTCCCTTGAACCTGCAGGTCTGGACGCTCCGCCACGCATTAAAGGAGCAGGCAGGGGACCCGAGAGAAACACGCAGGGCCAGCCGCTCCCCTGATGCAGCCGCCTGGGCTCAGCCACCGCTGCTCCTTCCGCTCAGGGCGGGGCTCGTCCCATGTCCCGCTTCCCACTTTCCTCTCCCCAGCCTCGCCCTCTGGAGGCTGCCAGCCTGCTCGCGCGGCTGCCCACTCTCCCCTCCCACCCGCGGCCTGCACTATGGGAATTCCCCAGGTCATCGGACTAAGACATACCGGAGTAAGACACCGCCTTTTGCTGCCAAACCGAGAAAGACGGAAAGGATCAAGTATTTATTCCGCTGCTGGGAAGTGGGCGTGACGATGATTAAGGCTTTTGGAGAGCAGTCTGTGAAACAGCACACACCCTCCACTCTTATGTGTCAACCAGAACACTCATGCATGAATTTGGAGAATGCTCAAAATGTCCATTTAAGGGCTACGGGTGAGTCAGGCCTCGCGGCGCACATCTCTAATCCTAGCTACTGAGGAGGCAGAGATCAAGAGGGTTGAAGTTTGAAGCCAGCCCCATCAAATAGTTCTCCAGAATTTATCTTGAAAAATCATATCACAAATAAAGGGCTGGTGGCCAGGCACTGGTGGCTACCTCTAATCCTAGCTACTCAGGAGGCAGAGATCAGGATTGCGGGCAAACAGTTTGTTAGTTTGTGAGCCTCTATCTGGAAAACCCCATCACAAGGGGCTGGCGGGTGGCTCAAGTGGTGAAGAGCACCCGCCTACCAAGTGTGAGGCCCTGAGATCAAAAAAAAAAAAAAAAAAGACCTGGAGTGGCTCAAAGCAGTAGAAGCTCCTACGTAGCAAACATGCAAGCCCTGAGTTCAAACTCCAGTACCGCAAAAGAGGGGGTGGGAGCGCCTGAGGATGTAGCTCAGTGGTCGTCTGTCTGCCTAGCATGCACTAGACCCTGAGGTGGGGGGACATGGAGAGCAGGGAACCTTTTTAGAGCATTTTCATTTTGTAACTATTCAAACCCAAAACTGTTTATCAGCAGGAAAATTGGTTAATTTGTAACACACTCCCAAACTCTTGCCAGTTAAAAATGATTATGACTGACAGGCAGAGGCCTTTTTTTTTTTTTTTCTCCAGCACTGGAGTTTGAACTCAGGGCTTACACCTTGAGCCCTTTATTGTGGTGTTTTTTTCCAAGATAGAGTCTCATGAACTGTTTGCCCAGGCTCACTCCTGATCTCCGTCTCCTGGGTAGCTAGGACTACAGGCATGAACCACTGGCTCCCAGCTTCTTTTTTCTCTCCTTTCTTCCCTCCCTCCCTCCCTCCTTCCCTCCCTTTCTTCCTTTCTAACATGCACAACAAGGATGACATTTGAAAAAGCTGTGGTGGGCCTGGACCTTGCGGAGAGCTGTGTCTCTTCCTCAGGTGCCCAGCATACTAGTTAGAATGTAAGGCATTCATCCATCCAACCTCCCATGGAATGCCTACTGGGTGCCAGGCACTGTTCTAGGTCTCAGCTTTCATGGAGCCTAAATAACACAGGGTAAAGGTGTTGATAAACAGAAAATCCAGATTCTTTCTGTCCCACATGGAAGCGTCCAGGCAGAACATGTGGATGTTTATTAAAGGTTAGAGAAAGGAATTAGAAAAGGCCAGGAATGAGACTGGAAGCCAGGAGGCAGGTCTTGCTAGACAGGTTAGGGAAAGGGGACCCAGTGGACTGTACCTGTGGCCCAGAGGCTTGATAAACAGGGCTCTGAATCTTGAAACCACCTGAGGCACCTTGAAACTGCTGTAGCCTACAGACCACCTCGCGATGTCCCACCAACCAGAGATGGGACAGAAAAGCATACACGGCAGGTGATTCGAATGAGTGAACGGTATTGGGACACAGTGGGCATCCCTTCATCAGGGAAAGAAGAATCTTTATGAAGCCCCAACCAAAGGAGCCATGAGCAGCTCAGCTCTCTGAGACCCCATTGCTTAATTAACCTCTGCTTTTTCAATTTTTATTCATTTATTTTTGCACTACTGGGGTTTGAACTCAGGGTCTACACCTTTAGCCACTCCACCATCCCTTTTTTGTGAAGGACTTTTTTGAGATAGGGTCTCTTGAAATATTTGCTTAGAACCTCAATTCTTCTGATCTCCAACTCCTGAGTAGCTGGTATTATAGGTGTGAGCCACCAACGCCTGGCTAACCTCTGCTCTTTTGTTCACGTCGTCCGTGACTTTCATTTTCTGATTCAGGAGACAAAGTTCCTGATAACTACTACAGGCATATGTCAGACCACCACATCATTGTGAGGTGGAAGAGAGGGAGAGAAAGATGGAGTGTCAGGCAGGGAGGGGTGGGAAAGGCGGTGGATTCCAACTCATTTTCACGAACATTTCACACAGTGCTCACTGCAGGTCTGGCCTATTCTTCATGGCTGCAAGGGGCCAGGAAGACTCAGGAGGTGACCCGTGCACTAGAAAGTCAAGGTTTTTTGTTTTGTTTTGTTTTGTTTTGTTGCTGAGGTTTGAACTCGGGGCCTCATGCTTGCTAGGCAGGTGACTCCACCAGCCCTTTTTTTTTTTGAGGTATTGGGGTTTGAACTCAGGGCCTTGTGCTTGCTAGACAGTGCTCTACCACTTGAGCACTCTGCCAGCCCTTTTTTGTATTGGGAATTTTTGAGATAGGGCCTGTCTCCTGAGTAGCTAGGATTCCAGGTGTGAGCCACAAGTACCCAGATGAAAGTCAGCTCTTTTGTGTAATAAGATGAAAGGTGAGGCTAGGCATGGTGGTACATAACTGTAATCCTAGCTACTAGGGAGGCCACAGATAGGAAAATCTTGGTCTGAGACAGGCCCCAAGCAAAAAAACTGGAGAGCCTACCTGAATAGTAACTAAAGCAAAAAAGGATGAGTGTGGTACGGTGTTTGCCCAAATACAAGGGCCTGAGCTCAAACCCTAGTATGGCCAAAAGCAAAAAAAAGGTGAAAAGTGAGCTGGGCATGGAGGCCCAGTGACTCAGCAAAGACCCCATCTCCAAAATACTAGAGCAAAATGGACTGGAGGCTTGACTCAAGTGGCAGACTGCCTGCTTTGCAAGCATGAAGCCCTGAGTTCAAACTCCAGATCTACCAAATAAATAAATAAAAAGGACTGGGGCATAGCTTGTGCAGTAGGGTGCCTGCTAACATGCTTGAGGCCCCTGGGTTCAATTTCCACAAGGGGAAAAAAAAGACTACTCAATTCAGGGGAAAATTTTGGCTAGGACAGCCCTTGCTAGGTACCCACTGACAAGGGGCAAGGGCACCAAATTGGGGCTCAGGGTTCCTGGCAAGCCAGGAGGCTGAGCAGAGGCAAAGGCAGAAGAGCAAGCATGGACAACCCTCCCAGTACCCCCTCCTTACCCCATAGAGCACATACTAGGTGTGTCCAGCCCTCTGCCAGATGCTCAGGATAAGTCATAAAGACACCAAGCAGCTGTCTTCTCACTGGATGAAGGAAAACCAGTTGCTGCCAGCTTTCTGACAGAGAGAACTACAGCTGAAGAAGGGTAAGAACTGAGGGAAAGGGGAAAGCAGGAGGTCTCTGAGTACACCAAGTTCCAATCAACTTTGACATGGATGTTTGAGATAGGAATGTCTCTGAGTAGGCCTAGCAGAATGCTGAGGATCCTAAAAATGAGGTAGCAGAGATAAGGACTTTAAAGATAGAAACTGCCTGTGGACACTGGAATAGGCAAAGAAACTGATTCTCTTTTGAAGCCTCCACCTCTGTGGACACCTTGATTTGCACACCCAAAGACTCACTTTGAACTTTTTTTAGTCTGCACTGGGGTTTGAATTCAGGGCCTCATGCTTGCTAGGCAAGTAAGTGCTCTACCACCTTGAGCCCATTTTGGTCTTCTGACTTCCAGAACAGTAAAGTAACAGATCGTTGGCAATTTTGTTATACCAGCTAGAAAAGTAGTACTTCTTGCAACTGTTACAATATCTTTAAGAACATAAAGTATACAGGGCTGGCAGAATGGCTCAAGCGATAAGAGCACCTGACTAACAAGCAGGAAGCACCGAGTTCAAACCATGCCACCAAACAAAAAAAAAAATGTGTGTGTATGTACAATGTAACTTTCAATGACCACAATAAATGCAGTTATCTGCTTACATTCAATTGAACCAACCAATCTCCATGAGGGGAACAGACATGTAGATTGTTTTCACATTTCCAGGATTTTCACTACCCTAGAAGGGGGCCTACCCTGTTCTAAGGTCCTTCCTAGACATCGCCAAACTGACCTCCTGAAATGCTGCAGAACGCACTAGCCGCCCCCAGCACCCGGATACTCTGCCTGGTGCTACATTCCACGATGCAAAGTGCCTGCAGCCCCCCTACTTCACTTCAGGCCACTCTTGCGACACCCCTGCGACGCAGCCCCATGCCTTTCCCTACAGGAGCTGCCCTCCCAGGTCTCCACGACCCCCGCGGGCCAACGCCGGCCCGCAGCGCCATCCCGGGCCCCGCAGGAGGCAGGAAGGACAAGCAAGCGGTCCTCCCTCTCTGGTCTCGCACTTGTTCCCCCGTATCCTGGTGATGGACCCAGGCAAATCCTCTCTGCCAGGACTGTCCTTCTTGGGGAGGAGAAGGTCGGTTCTTTGAGGGAATAAGGCCAAGAGTTGCTTAATTTGGGGAAGAAAGTTTGGCTGAGCCAAGCCCTCCGTTTCGTAACCTGCCGGAAGCAAGACTACAAATCCCGACGCGGTCCCGACGCGGGCGCAGGGGCGAGGGCGTGCACCACGCAGGCGCGGGCCAGCCACGTCCCCGACACCCCGCGCCGAGAGTCCCAGCTCGTCCGCCAGGCACGCGCAGAGCGATGACATCATCCCGATGCGCCAACGTGCGGCCGGCGACGTCACCGCCCCGTCCTGACTCCCCCCCCCCAGCCCCACTC